AAGTCAATCCACACAAACATTTTTTTTGGCTTCGTAATCTTTAATCAAAATCTGAAATTTCCCCTCCCCTCTGCGTTGGAGGACCTTCCCTGATGACGTAGGTTTAACGGTTTGGGCGTCTTCTTAACATCCGTAACCACGCCCCTCCAACTGACAGTAGACAGGCTGCATGAAAACACCTACTTTTCTAGATCCAATCAGGTGCTAGTTGGGAAAAAAGCCACGCCCACTATTTTGCCTCATTTGGTATTCCGTTTCTCTCGGAAGTACTTCACAATACTGGAGAAAAGTCGTTTGCAACTACTGGTTCACGGGGACTTTAATATCCCAGGTATTTCTTCTGCACAGCAGTGGCTGTGTTTGCATGTACATATTTCAATTAATATCCATATTTAACCCTTTAAGTGTCACCCCCCTTTTTTTGAATATACATGAAAATGCACATTTCGAACTTAAATGGTTGTAATTCAAGAACGCTTTGGAATATAGACGTAAGATTGGTCTTGTTTTAAAGAAGACATTTGGCAGATTTTTGTAGAAGTGAAATAAATTAACAAAGTGAAACAGAAAAAAAGTTATAGAAGTTTGAGTTTATGAAAATGTACAATGTAAAAAATTTAATTATTCATATTTTATATAAAATATATGTTTTTAAAACCTGGGCGACTCTAAAACTGCAAAAAAATCAAAGCCAAAAATCTGAACAAGTTGTGTTTCAAATTTTAGGTTGATATCTCAAAAAATGAGCTTTCAGTAAGATTTTGTTTGGGCGCAGTACCAAACTTTTTCACTAGATGACAATCAGACTCCATTACTGCCCATATAAGGGCGCCTCCATTTCCATATGTGCTTTGAGTGATATGAACCATTATTTCCACAATTTTCATACAATTTATGAAGTAGACATCCTATTCAGAAGTAATATGAGAAGTTTGGCAGATTTTGATATGATTTCAACCTCTAAGAAACATAAAAAGAACACGCATGTGCGTTTTAGCTTCCTGCCACATCATATAATTTTTTTCTTTATATAAAAAAAAAAATTCAGACCTTTTTTTTTAAATAATTGAATGGATGCTATCTTTTGAACTCTTGGCATGAAAACAAACTGAGGTTTCTACCCTTCTTTCATGATTTTTCATGTTCATCACTATTTCAAAATAAAGGTCTAAGAGTATGAAAATATTATTGTTGCAAATTGATAAATTACAGCTCCTCTGTAATTTATTTTGAAAATCAATCACCAAATATGGAAACTAGAGATTGTAAGCTTTCAAATGATATATAGTTTGTCAAGATTAGTTTAGGTTTAGTATAGGATATTACTGTTTTAAAAATGTAAAGGATTTGGGCCCACCGGTGGGCCCATGACACTCAAGGGGTTAAGCCTTTATTCTAAAAATGAGGTTATAGATATCCTAGAAGGTCCTCCAATGCAGAGGGGAGGGGCATTTTTAAATTTTGATTAAAGATTACGAAGCCAAAAAAAATTTTTGTGTGGATTGACTTGCATGGATGAATTGTTCACCACAAAACGATCAATTTAGGCAAACAAAGTAAGTATGGTCAATTTTTATTTCATGCATGGGGACTTTAAAGAGACCTTATTTGAGATCCTAATGCAAATGGGACTTATTATTATGAAAAGCATATGACACAAGTAAGCTTGAATTAAGACATCAATACAACAAGAAATGGTCCTTCCCCTAAACACACAAATTATACTGCCTGCAATATGACATCAAGCGCCATGGATGGCCACACACACACACACTGGCAGTGAGCAATGAGGCTATATTTAGCCGTCTGGAGTCCCGGATTCCAGTGTCTTTTGGCCGGTGTGTGTTGGGAGGAGTTGTAGCGCTGCGTGACTGGCCCCATCACGTCAGCACAGCTCAGACTCAGCACATATAAGACGGCTCTCCTACAGTTCTTCTGCTCATCATCATGATGGTGATGATGAAGGCCCTGTTCTTACCCCCAACAAATTCATCCATGTTGCTTGAAAAACTCATTATAATTTTGAGAGGGGATGGTGTTCCAGTTCAAGTTGGTTAGATTTTTTAGGAAAATGAAAGGGATTTCTATATTTGATTCTCTCAATAGTCTACGAAAGCGATCCGAGTTCAGTATATAATAAAAATGCAGCGGAGTAGTCTACGCTTGGTTGCGCAATATCGACTTTTGTGATTGGCCATAATAAATGCAGGTTGCAGCCAATGGACACGCTTCTCTATCTCTATCATTGCGGGACGTCCTGATTTTGTCGAGTTAGACACGTTCATGGGTCCACATATTTTGTTGATCCTGGAACAACATTCCTGTCCAAAAATCCCAACCCCTAAACCTAACCCAGAACTTATCCCTAAACTCAGACAGGTGAATAACACTGATGTAGAAGCACCCAAACCTGGGTTTAAGCCTAAACTTCACATAAACTGTAAACTTGTCCCTCACATCTGATTGGTTGATTGGAACGTTTTGCACTTGGTGGAATCAGGTTTGCATCAGCGCACGTCCTCTCACTGATCATCAGAGCAAACCACTTCAGGTAAATTGGGATGATCCGAGATTTCGGCCCAAAACCTGAACAGAAACTGTTAGTTTAATAGATGTGATAACAGAAAATTTGATGTGGATAAAACCGCGTTTACATATCTGAAATTGCCCATGTTTAACCGGATTTAATATAAACTCTGTCTAATGATGATGTCTAGCCTGAAAGGAGACGGTGTTTCTGTTAATGAGATATATATTGTATATTTTAGAGCTGCGAGATTAATTTCAGGACCGGCCCAGGCTCTATTGGTGCCCTAGGCAAGATTTTAAATAGTGCCCCGTACTGAAACTGCAATGCCTGCTATTCATGAATGCTTTTACATTCGGTCTGCGCTTGCGCAGACCGAAGCGCCGGCGCCGTCAGATCACTTGGACGTGGCTGTGGTTACAAGAGGTAAAAACGATATAAATACTGTTCGTTTTCTCACACAAACCGCTCGTTTCGTGTCTTAGGCCATCAATGTGTACTTACATTTACGAGTCATTAAATCATGTTTAATTTGGACTTCTCTGTGCATGCTCTTTGAGGTGGTGACCATAGACCTGCATTATATGACTGACAGACAAGAACGGTTTGACCTAAAAATATCAAAATTGAAACTACTGCGGAAACAAAGACACTACATCTTGATGCCCTTGAGGTAAGCTAAAACATACCAAAAATTAATTTCAAAGTGAACTATCCCTTTAAGTGCAAAGATTAACCATCATAGAGCAAAAGTTTACTCACAAGTGTAATTCACAGTTACATTTTCTTCCGTGTCTATTTGTGCTTAAATGGACACATTCTCACAAAATGATGTCATAATGCCCGTCTCGGTGAGTGTCCTAAACACAGTCGCTTACGTGAAGGGAAACATTTGAGAAAGAAAAGTCTCATTGTATTATGCGTGTCATTATATGGTTTTGTGCATTCGGTCTTAAAGTGACAGCAGCCTCCTAATGACTCCTGTCTGAGTCATTAGTGTTAATCAAACAACAACATACATGGAGAAAATCACTTTTGTAGCTTTAACAAAGATTCATTATATTTCATTTATACAGTGAAGACTATGCAGTGTTATTTTACATTTGATTATTCAATTTCTGTACCTGAATCTTGAAAACATAAATCACTGTTTATTTCATCTTAGTTTGTTCTATTGTATTTATCTATGCTTATAATGTGTTTATTATTTTCTATGCAGATGCACTCTCCTTCAAAATCACCCCAATCTTTCCAGAATGATTTATTCTTTCTAAATATTCAAGTCAGAATATATATCGCAATATATATTGCAGAAAAAATAAATATCGCAGTGTCAGTTTTTCCCAATATCGTACAGCCCCGCTTGAATGGTCTTGGGGCCAGAAATGACCCAGAGGCTGGATGTTCCCAACTTCTAATGCGAAGGAGGTTTCTATGACAACAAAGAATAGATCTATGACAGTGCTCTCATCTATAGTCCTATATGTAAATTTCAGTGCATGTGTGTGTATTTTTGGAAACGGTCCAGGTCGCCATATGTGTATAAACACCCAGCTGACAGAATGAAAGTTAGAAGAGTTCCTGAATGCATTTAGACAGCTGAGGCAGATTTCTCTCTCTCTTTCACACACACACACACACACACACACACACACACACACACACACACACACACACACACACACACACACACACACACACACACACACACACACACACACACACACACACACACACACACGCACGCGTGCTCACAAGTCTCGCCAACTCATTTCGCAAGCAACGGCAGGCGGCTGAAATAATTCTGTTTCTGAGCATCTGTTTGTCTGCCCGGGAGCCTTCCTCTAAACACGAGCCAATACCTGCCGTCAGACTGTCTAAAAATATGCCTAATTAAAAAAAGACCATCATCGTCTGCCGAGCGTGCATAATCTCCACCTTTGTATTGGGTTTGGACCCTAGAGCCTTGTAGAGTTTATAGAGTGTACCTTTATGACCACCTGTACTCATATCTCTCCTGGGAGACGGATGTGTGTGTGTGTGTGTGTGTATCTGGTATTCCCTATGTTATGGGGACCAAACAAAAAGGACAGCAAAAAAGCTTATAAATCATATGAAGTTTTTTGAAAATGCAAAAATGCAGAAAGTTTTCTGCGATGGGTAGATTTAGGGTTATGTGATATAATATACAGTTTGTACAGTATAAAAATCATTATGTCAATGGAAAGTTCCCATAAAACATCGAAACATCTCTCTCTCTCTCTCTGTGTGTGTGTGTGTGTGTGTGTGCTAATGACACCGCTCTATTGCATACATGACAAATGAGCCAATAATGTGTCAAGAGCTCCACACATCTTTTGTTGCCTTTTGTGCATATTGGCTGCTATTTGCACTCTTCTCTCTAACAAGGTTGGATTTTAATGCATCATGGCAATTTTCATATCTCTTTTCTTTGAACTTTGTTTCTGTGCAGTTTGCGTGCTGTACACTCAGACGGTGGCGAACAGGGAGTGGAGAGAGGTATCGTATTTTCAGACCTGTATTTTTTAACATGCATGACGTTTTATTCATGCTGGTCATGTGATGCTGTTTGCTGTTCTCTTGTTTAGTTTGGCAGGACAGAAGTCATCGATAACACACTGAATCCAGACTTTGTGCACAAGTTCATCCTAGATTACTTCTTCGAAGAGAGACAAAATTTACGCTTTGACCTGTGAGTATAATCAGCAATGCAAATGTGTTTGAGATTATATGTTTGGGTAAATTATGCATTTTTGACATGATTAATGTTCATTGCCCAAAATGATAAAGAGAATACATTTCTAGTTTAAGAACAATGTTCCAAATTCATTAAAATTAGATTTTTTTTGTTATCGCTGGGCTATATTTATAGATATTTATATATATATTTTTAAATATGTTAAAAAAAATGTATGTCTCTAAATGTCAAATGGTGTAACCTCCGACTTAAATGTAATAATTTTGTTCCTTACATCTTGATATGTAAATGTAAACGTCTTAATTATTATTATTTTTAAATTTGTTGTGAAAATAATGAAGATTAAACAAACCTTTCTCATTACAAAAAAAAAAAAAATCTGATACACTGACACAGTCATGAGGGACTACAGGAGTCTTTGATTTAATTCCCTGTTTTATGGGCACATGACAGCCAAAATGTATTTTAATTCAGAAATTGCAAATCTGTCCATGATAGAAGGGGTGTAAAAGACCATTGTGTTTTTATATTTTTTTTTTATATATTTTTTTATGAATCCATGCAGATTTAAAACACTGAGTAACACGTAATTGAGTCGTGTGTCAATATTTGAAACCATGAGCACACAGATTTGCATGTTTAATGATCTCCATGTTCACTGTAAACAATTAGACAGCCAGAGACATTTAAAAACCGTTGCTAGTAACATAGGAGACCTTTTAATTCAGTTTTGTATGATCACACACACACACACACACACACACACACACACACACACACTGCCTGCAGGGTTTTGGCTTGCTTCCGCTCAGTGAAGCACATTTTATACAGCCGTATCCCAGAAATTACATTTATGCATTATTCACCTCCCTCACACACACACACACACATGCACGTGGTCAAAACACTCCGCAGATCCTTCTTTAGAGCATCCACACAGAATTAAAACAGCCGTTCCATACGTACAGTACATTACCTTTACAAATCATCCAGAGACGCATGATGCCCATAATACATGATGCTGAATAGAACAGCAGTGACGTTTGTGTGTATATATACACACATAGAGCCCCAGATCTCAGAAGAGGGACCAGGTGTAAAACTGTCAGGTGTACACACACTCAAACACTGATGGATGTGACACATCCATTAAAATGTCACTTCCTGAATATGATAATATCAGGACAGGGGGATGGTTACATGACTGACCAACTACACACACACACACACACACAACTATATAGTTGAGGGAGCTCTGACAGCCAAAGGTGAAGGCTGACCAGAGACCTCATAGGCAAGAGAGATGGCCTCGACTATCCACTTGCTTAATGACTGCTTGGATGCTGGAATTTTCTTAGGCGATCCAAAGCAAACACACAGTTGACCAGTTTTCCTCCAGAGGGCAGCTCTGTGGACGTATGCATCCAGTTCTCTAACTGGACACAGCTTCTCCTGGTCCTGATCTCTGAAACGAGGAGGGCAAAAGGCTTGAAAGATTATAGGCCGTGGCACATTGGTAGGAACCTTATGGACAAAGGGTATAAGAATGCCTAATCCATCCCCAGTGCAAACTCAAGGCCCGTAGGGGATACCAACAGGGTCTGGAGGTCTCCTACTCTTATACAAGACGTGATGGCTAGAAGGAACACTGTTTTTAGAGTCAGAAACTTTTCTGGAACAGTCTCAATAGGCTCAAAGGGAGCCGTGAATAGACCTTCAAGCACAATGGCCAGGTCCCAGGCCGGTACTGTAGTGCGGCTTGCAGACCTCAGCCTCAAGGGACAATGGAGGAAACGTGGCATCAACAGGTTTCTCCCCAGGGATACACCTCCCAAAGGGACATGGTAGGCAGCTATGGCTGCCACGTACACCTTTAGTGTGGAAGTGGATAACCCTGCGAGAAAAAAACAACTTTAGAAACTCCAGCACTATACCAACCGGGTGGTTAACTGGGTCCCACTGTCGAATAAAAAAACCTCCACTTCAATGTGTACAATTTCCTTGTGGAGCTGTGGCAAATTATCTCAAAGGGGAAATATTAAGAATTGATCATAACTTGTTATAATTAATTGTGAATATTTGGATCAGTTAATAAGATTAACTTGATCTAGCTGAATTAATATTACAATCAATTAATCAGTTCATCCAGCAAACACTCAGTATTGATTATTTATTAATTTTAAGAAATGTTAATTTCCAGGGTACTGTACTGTACTCGGAGCATGTAGCAAGTTCAGGAATCGTTTAAGTGACATTAATCGTCAGTCAGAGTCAGAAACAGGGAACTCATGTGTATTGTACACAAAGTTTTATTAACTAAATCACAAACCCATAACTACTCTAACTAACACATACACACAAATCACGCATACACTGGAATTGGGAAAATTAAAGTGAATGAACAGAACAGAGGGGTGAAGCTATGAAAAGAGTCATTTAACCATCTGAAAAGAACCATCAGTTTCTTAGTTTAAAAACACCATTGTTAACAAAGGGGTTCACAGGCTACTAAACCTCTGTTTAGTCCGTTAACTGTACGATACTTGCATTGCCTTAGCCTTGGAACGAGCATCCGGATATGCAGTCTCAGGAAAAAAGTCTTGATGGTTCGGTCCGATGGTACTGAAGTTGCAATCGATTTCTTCCGCGTTGAAAGAAGAAAACTAGCCTGGGAAAACCCCGACAACTTCCGGCAAATTTAGATTTGCTCTGAAAGTTAGTCTGGCAAAGAGCTCATTCAAGCCCATTTCCAATCCGTCGAAATCGCGGCACCAATCAGAAACGTTGGGGCGGGCTTTACACGATGACGACAGCGCTGGGATTTTGAAGCAGATTTTGTAGCCTACATTACAAAGATGGATGCCGCCGTCGAACATCACTCGTTCGAATCAGCTATCGCGTCTGTTTTAAGCGATTTGAACGTTTCCTTTTTGTTAAAAACCGAGCAAAGAACAACACTCGGAGATGTGTCTCCGCCGCTCTGCATACGTCATCTCCTTCATCGCTCTGATTGGGTTTAGGTCTATCCGCGACGTCCGTTGGTGACGCCCCTCTGGAAATGATTTGTCTATGACGCTTTGCCAGACCATAACTCAGTTACAACTGAGAATGGTCTGGTGTTAACCAGGCTAGAAGAAAACATGACTTCCGCTGTTAGTTTGACTCTGTTATGGTCGAGGAAGTTGCATATGGCTTGATGTGTTGAGGCCTGCCGGCCCGCAACCTCGCTGTTGGACCGGGTTTCTGGTCCCGCACGCACAGGAGCCAGGAGAAGACCGAAAAGAGGGAAGGAACTTTGTGTTGGCTTTTAGGTTCCACAGAGGTCACACCTCTTGAGTTTTGGCTTGACCAATGGGAAAGGGGCAATTTCCAAATGGGAAAATTCCTCTGTTGGGAGGTTTTATGACCCTTTGACTGGAGCATGGTTAGAATGGGTCTGGTCATTTGTGTCCATTTATACTCTGATTAATACAATACAACAGACAATATACAAAACAGTAGTAATACACACAATGTCCTGGGGACATTATGCTGGTTTATGCTGGTTATTTCATATACCGGACCGTCTATGAATTAACAGAGAAAGTCCTTTTTATAGAAAATCTGCAGACATAAGGTCCCTCCTGATCAGAATCTCTAGGGGAGAGCCTTTGAGGAGGGACACAAGGTCCGAGAACCATACTCGGGCCGGCCAGAACAGCGCTACTAGTAGTAGACTTATCCCATCCCGGCGGACTCTCTCCAGAACTCCGGGGAGCAGAGCAATCAGGGGAAAAGCGTACAGACGTAGCCTCGGCCATGTCTGTACCATGGCATCCAACCATGAGGGACGACCAGAGTGTACAGTGTGTCGTATCCTGAGACGCAAACAAGTCCACTTCTGCCTCACTGAACACCCTCCATATGAGCTCCATCACCTCGGGGTGAAGTCTCCATTCCCCTGGCCTCAACCTCGACAGGATGCCTGCCCTCAAATGTTGGTACCCTGGAATGTTGCTTTCCCTGATCAACAGGAGGATCTGATGTGCCACCACCGATGTGTTGTCTGTCTGGATAAGCACATGATGGCTCCTTAGGTCTGGAAGGAAATGCTTCAACGCCAGGAAGACAGCCATCATTTCCAGGGTCTACCACTGTGAACAGAACCCTGTTGAACCGGGGATAGAAGTGCTAGGCTCAATTAACAACGCATAAATCGTGTGTATCCCCACCCATAACAAAGCGAGGGCAGGGCCATAATAACTTGTCTAGTGATTCTGTTACAATATCGGGACAGTCAACACTAAATAAGACTGACAGTTTTCAACACAGAGCGCTTGCTGAGGCATTCCAGTTGTCCACATGCCCGTGACGTCCAGTTTCGCCATTGGACTGATTTCACATACATGCTTCAGACACAATCACACAGAGGGGTTTCCAAAGTGTCAATACTATGACGCAGTGCGAGTTCCCTCGAAAGGGAAATGCCACGTCACAATATTGAAAATATTTCCATTTTAAACCATGAAGGCGAGCCAGTGGATATCACACAAGCAATGTGCAAACTCTGCGCTAGAGTTATGCTGGCAAAGAAATCTCAAACCCCAGGCAATTATTCACTACAGAAAGTTAAAGTAAAAACTGACCGAGCTTATGGCATCTTACACTGCATTAACGGTGCATATACTCTTAGAGACGATGAGAGATTAATCTAATTATATTTCTCTTGTGGCCCATAGTGAAAAAATTAGAAGAGAAGTATTTCGTGTTAAACAAGTTGTGTTTGAAATGAAGATCATGCTAATCTAATTTATCTTTTATTATCCTTGCAGACTGTCGGTTATGTGGTGATGCCATATACAATTATTGTGGGGCAAATGAAATGTAATATTAATTTAATAATAAAAGTAGTCTAATAATAATGTATTAGGCCCTGCGTGCCTGTCCGCTACGCCACAGTAAAGGGCTAAATCACGTCCACCAGGCACGGCATCAAAGCGAATAACTGTTTTATCCAAATCCACATGAATGGTCCTTTCAGTATTCAGTAGTCTACTGCAATGTCCGAGAGTCTCTCCTGTCTCATGGTGTTTCTCATGTATGTTTTCTGTCAGCGCTAGAAAGAAAAATGTATTTTTAGTTCATCGGCACTGTCAAGATTAACTTTAGACTGTGGACTAGCTTTGACTCTCTGAACAGTGAGTTTTTCTTGCTCGTGGCATAAATATGGGGGGCTCCCTTGGCCCCACCAATGTCGCCCATGTGTGTCTCTCAACCCCCCCCCCGAGCTTTTATATGGACCAATTATCAGCGCAATTTGACTGAAGTCCAGTTTATTGTGCATTCGTGGCGCGCGAATCACAGTACCGTGATTGTGTTAACCAGCGCGCTCCAAGTTTTGCGCGAGCTGTCCATTGTCCACTATGCCCTTGTTTAGTACACTTGTTGGTGACAAATCATTCAGTGTACTTGGCATTGATAATATCCATAGCAATAGCCAGCACAAGCCAAAAACTAAACTCCTGCAGACTGTGTTGAGTATGTGTGTGTGGTAGATTCTTGACATAAAGTTAGCACACATACAACATCACAGCACAGCTAAAGTAAAACACGTAGTATACCGACATGACAGGAGACAGGAGATTTAAACATGAATGTTTGGTCAGGTAAAAGCATGTCTCGATCTCAGTGGTCTCTCCTGGAAATATCCGCACATGTGCTGACGCTGCTCATTTAGCACAGCGGGAGGAAGAATAAGACAGACAGACAAAGAGAGAGACAGCCAAGAGTGTAGATTCACGCTGAGAGGAAAATAACATGTATCCCAACATGACAGGTTTTTCCTCAAACATGTAGGCTTGCCCCCCACTGAGGCTTCATTTAAGCTGCCGGTGAACAACAGGCTCGTGTTCATTCAGAATGTCACGAGAAAACAGAGGCAGTGTCATACAGAAAACAACCAGTAAAAAACATGACTTAAAGGTAAAGTGTGCAGTTCTTGGAATGAATACCAATGAGATTCTCCACCAATTCGACAAAGCATTGAATTGCCATGAGAGTGTGTTGGAATCACCCATATTATCCATATTTGAGGTGATGACATTTCTATGGACCAGTTTTCTTCCGAAAAAAATAATCTAGTTATTTTTGCAATATAGTGCTGCAGGGATGACATATTTTGTAGGCCAACTCACAAGTTAGCAGCAGCCTGGTTCCCTCAACAAAACATCCAATAGGATTTTACCACTGGCTTTGGTTTATTGCAGACAGGGCCGGATTAATGCATAGGCATTTTTTCCCATAAATCATTACTATTGGTCACCCTCTACATCAGTCTGACGGTTTTGCAAGTATTTAACGAATGAAACATATTAAAAAGAGCTTGTGACTAAATCTCGTAACTCCATTGGATCCTCAATCTGTCAATCAAACCTCATCTCCGCTCCGTCTCAATCGTGAAAGAAGTGCGGTTTGGAGTTGCACCGTCTCTGCTTGTTTGCAATGTAAGGGTAAATAAACAACTGGTTCTTTTATACAGCGTTTTCTTTACTCAAGAAACACTGTATAAAGGCTAATGTTTTATGTATTTGAGGAGCGGAGAAGCGTGTCTTAGTCTAGCTTTTGTCTTCGAGTCACAGCCAGTGCCGTCTTGCGTAGCACTTCATATTTAATAACATGAGATTTTGGCCAAATGACAGAAAAAATGGAGCGCCCATACAGCTACAGTAAACTTTATAATCTGTAAGTTCATGAAAGCGTAATGCAATGCACTTACTTCCTAAGATCCAACCGTTCTAATGACAGAAAAAACACAAAAACTTTGTAACTTCATTTGAACTTGGAAAAATGTTAATAATATAATGACACCTGCAAGTATATGATCATTTATAAAGGCACAATATCCATTTTGACAACACAGTGTTTAGTTATTTAAATGGTATTTATATTTCCGGAAAACTAGCCGTTTTGGTCATACATACAACTGCCAGAAGTTAAAGGTGCTGAATGTAAGTTTTTGACCGTAGTAAAGCATAAGAATGCCATAATATGTTTGCAGATATTTAGGAAACATTCTGAGTTCGCATACTCGTTTCTCTGAAAAACACTTCTAAAGCCAGTTATTTTACTTTTGAAATGTGCGTTCGGTGTCGGAATGTCTGTTTTTGTTTTGGTCTGTGCGATACCGCAAGTTGCCAATTTACCCAATAGTATTTCGCCGCCACAGGTTGCCAGCTGGCGGAAAACAGCATATTTTAGGCATGGAAGCCAGCAAACAAACTGGGTCAGAGGTCGCAGATTCTACCCGACCTAAAAATGCTTCGGTATCATCTAAAAATCTCTATGAACGAGAGCAAAAATACAATGCGAAATCAACTTATCATAAATTAAAGCTGCCGTCGGCAACATTTTTTTGATCATATTCAGTGAAATCGACACTATAATCCGACAGAATAACATAAATAAAGTGGTTTTAGAAAAAAACCCGAGCTTCTAACTCCACCTGGAGCGTGTTATTTGTTTTGCAAAAATCCACATCGGGTCCAATCAGCGCAGGGGTGTGTGAGATCTGACTGTCAATCACAGATCGGGCACACGCCACCCCTCGCGCACGTTACAATCACATGCACACGCCTGAAGTTTGCGCAGTAACGAAGAGTGATGGCGGATGTATCTCGCTTTCAAAACACTAACAAATCAAGTAAGCTCATTTAGAGTATAAATGACGTTAGCAATTGCAATCTATGGGTAGATTAGCCAGGGCAGCATACCTCCAAATACTCCACGGTGTTGATGGATGCTGATGAGACGGGCGCGTTCACTGATAACCTGGTGCACACGCACTGACGAGCACGAACTCGGTGGGAGGGTATCCGTTGATAGTGGGGGAGGGGCATGAGAATTGTAAACATTCAAAATTTTGCCAAAGTCCACTCAATCTGCCAGACTTGCCGACTGGAGCTTTAATAAATCAACTCATCAACTTCAGTTTCCTCGCATTCCATTTGCAATTGCGCTCGTTCCTGTTGTGTATCCTCAATCTGGCTAAACTACACCAGGGTCGCATGACTTCAACATCACCATCATTAAGCTTCCGACACTACGAGTTGGAAAATGTGAGTTAGAATAGTTTGCATGAGTATAATACAACGGAAAAGTATAAAGCAGACTAGTGAGTAGAGGAGTTTACCTGTTCTGCTGATGACGTGTAATGAAAGCAGAAAGATATGCTAAATATGGAAATATTTTGAAATTGTGTTAAACACAGACCTTATTTAAGGCATTTAACCAAAAATCCACAAAAAAAAAAAAAAAACCTTTGGCTTTGGGATGAAGGTACCGGAAGTGTAAAAATTCTAACTCATCTTTGGACTTAAGGACTCATTCCATCTGTTGAGTGCCACAGAAATGACACATTTAATCTCTACAAGTGTTTCATTCAGCGTTTTTCCTTTTTTTCTAGGTATGACCTTGACTCAAAGAGTGAAAACCTGTCCAAACATGTAAGTGTTTGCTTGTAGTTTGTTTGTGTGGCTGTTTGTGCGTTGGTTGAATTTAAAAACTTGTTATATTTTGTTCTTGTGTTACGTGTGTTTATGTGTGTGGTGGTCCTATAGACCGCTTGTTTGACCCTCATCATGGGGGTTTTATCGTGATTTATTCAAGCATTTTCTGGGGTCAGAACCACGGGTCACACTATATCCCAGAGTGCACCTGTGGGATTGATGTTCAGACATGCTGGGCACAGACATTCAAATCAGCTCTCAGGAGAACGTCTGCCTTTCCATCTGCAAAACCTTCCTGCCGCAACCTTTGCCCACACGCAGCCTGTCATGAGCTAATCTAAAAGAAGATCATATTTTCATCCATATACTTGGTTTTTAGGCACTTTTATGTTGATTAGTATTGAAACATATGTATTCTTTTTCTTTATGTCCCCACATTAGTCAAATTAAAACTGTCTCCGTATTTTTTTTTCTTGACATTTTTTCATTTACTTTTATTAATTTTAAAATGCCTTGCTTATGTACACACACACACACACACACACACACACACACACACACACACAAAAAAGTATAATGTAAAAATATATAGTGGTGTAATTTGCTTCGGGTCAAAATTTAGTACACAGGTAGTTATTGAAATGTGTGTAAACTTATGATGTTAACTAATATGCAAACAAAAAGTAAAGACTTTATTTAATTATGTCTATTTAGGATTGAATACATTGAAATATTATTTTTAAAATGTTCGCATGGTAAATCTGTATAGAGAGAAGGTACATAAAGGGCACCTTGGACTCAAATGGCCCAAAATCATGAAATGATCATTTAGCTCCCATTCCTACCGTGTGTGTGTTTGTGTGTGTTTGCAGGACTTCCTGGGCCAGATGTACTGTACTCTGGGAGAGATGGTGGGATCTCAGGGAAGTCGTATGGAAAGGCCACTCATGTAAGTCCTGCATTCGAGCTTCACACTTCTCTGAAACACAACATGTTCAAATATGATTTTAATTCTCACCTAACACTGCTATCTCAGTTCATTTTACCGTCCTCATTTTCATATTAATTGTTTCTGCATATATATTGTGTCTCCTGGCTAAACTGCAAAAAAAAAAAAATCTAATCTGAATCTGTTTTCAAAAATGTCCCGCTCTGAATTTACATATTAAACTAAACACATTGCACATCCAGTTGCTTTTCAATTATGTGAGGACGTTTTTAGAAAGGAGCTCCATTATATAGAATCAAATCACAAATTTGCTGAATTTACTACTGAATGTTGTTGGGGATCCTTTAAAATGTTTTTAATCAGGATTCCAGCTTGTATGCTTCGAGAAGAGAGAGTTTCCCCTGTTAATAAGAGCAGGAATGGTGCGGTTTATTATTAAACTTGTAACGCGTATGTGGATTTACTTCTGTGTTCATTCAATCAGTCCTGCGGTGTGACGCCTCCACAAAAGAAAGATTTTCAGCATTAATGAGCGTTAAATAAGCTTTGCTTATTTGACTGGAACTGATTGTGTCAAAATAGCTGAATAAATATCAAAATCTAAACAGCACATTTCAAATGACATACAAAATACCTTTTTTTCATGGACTCAGATTAATTGAGAGACGACACAGAGTGTTTTCCACAGCGTAATACTTTTTAAAATGAACTTGTGAAGGCAAAACTCACATCTAAAATATACTTTCCCATGTACACACATACTATGTATAAAAAAATTACATTAACATTCAAATCTTGATGTTGATGTCCAAGTCCATTTGTCCGTATGCAAATTGCCCTGAAGTATGTTTATTTTTCCCCGTATATAATGTGTGTGTGTGTGTGTGTGTGTGCTGTTTGGCGACAATATAAGATGATGTTGATCTGAGAGTATTATATAAGCAGAGCTGCCTGCACTATATATATAGTTATAGTGGAGTTGTAAATGCATTTAAATGTGTTTACAGTCATAAGCTACACTGAATTACTCATGCAACTCTGAATTCATTTCATTCTTGGTCATACATGTTAAAGGGTTAATTCACCAAAAAATGACATTCATTCATTCATTCATCTTCGGAACACAAATGAAGATCTTTTTAATGAAATCTGAGAGATTTCTGTCCCTCCATTGACAGATACGCAACTACCACTTTCAAGCCCCAGAAAGGCAGTACAGACATAATTAAAGTAATCCATGTGACTCCACTTTTCTGTAAAAATATACCTCAGATTTCTTGTCCCGTTTCACACTGAAATGCTGCCGCTCGTTCTCTTTGCCACTCGGAGGGCGTAACTTACATGATATAATTATTGATGATGTATTATTTGCTATACGTCTCTCCTGAAAGGAAATGTCTCGAAGCCATACATGAGCGATCAGGTTCATTAAAAAAGTTGCCTGATTGTAGTTTGAACTGGTTCTAAATCTGATTAGCTTGTGGCTAAAACAGCGCTATACACGGGTAGCTTTCTGTCTCTCTCTTTCTCTTTCAATATCATTGCAAGTAATTCCTGATACCGGCTGCACATTTCAGGTTAATTTAGGAGAGTGCCTCAGAGGACGTCTGTAGATTCAGAGCAGATTAAAGACATGTCTTCAGTTAGCGTGGATCTGCTTCTCTAACCTCTGTAACAGAACCCAGAACTACTTAGTGGAATTGAAACAAGCACTCAAGGCAACGCTGCCAACGCATAAGTAAGGGAGAAGTTTGTTCTCTCATCAAATTATCTTCAAAATCTTTCATCGTTCTTCTTTGTCAGGCACTTGTACAGGACGTTGAAGTGTAGGGTCCATACAATTTAAATTCAATTCCGGCTTGTGCTTCTTGAGTGTAGTCTTATATAAGAGCACAGAAAACACTCGCGCATTTGCCTGTCTGCTTCTACAAACACTCATTTATTTATGAAGCAGAGATACATGCGTTCATAACCGTAGACTGGCTTCGAGCTCTTATTAACGTTCACTCATTCACACAGCATGGGTTGTACATCCCCATTCGTTCAACACTCAGCATACAGTATTCACTAATTACTCCTTTATTACACACTAACATCCAAAGCAAGGTTTTGTGTTTTGGGATCAGTCCTCCTGGATTAAGCTGTAAGGTTGAGTGTCAACGTCCCTTTGTAGGATTTGAACCTTGTTCAGAATTGGTCAGTTGTGTGCTTGGATTGGTCAGTTGTCTGCTTGGATTGGTCAGTTGTGTGCTTGGATTGGTCAGTTGTGTGCTTGGATTGGTCAGTTGTGTGCTTGGATTGGTCAGTTGTCTGCTTGGATTGGTCAGTTGTGTGCTTGGATTGGTCTTTTGTCTGCTTGGATTGGTCAGTTGTCTGCTTGGATTGGTCAGTTGTGTGCTTGGATTGGTCAGTTGTGTGCTTGGATTGGTCAGTTTTGTGCTTGGATTGGTCTTTTGTCTGCTTGGATTGGTCAGTTGTGTGCTTGGATTGGTCAGTTGTCTGCTTGGATTGGTCAGTTGTGTGCTTGGATTGGTCAGTTGTGTGCTTGGATTGGTCAGTTGTGTGCTTGGATTGGTCAGTTGTGTGCTTGGATTGGTCAGTTGTGTGCTTGGATTGGTCTTTTGTCTGCTTGGATTGGTCAGTTGTGTGCTTGGATTGGTCAGTTGTGTGCTTGGATTGGTCAGTTGTGTGCTTGGATTGGTCAGTTTTGTGCTTGGATTGGTCAGTTGTGTGCTTGGATTGGTCAGTTGTGTGCTTGGATTGGTCAGTCGTGTGCTTGGATTGGTCAGTTGTGTGCTTGGATTATCAGTTGTGTGGTTGGATTGGTCAGTTGTGTGCTTGGATCGGTCAGTTGTCTGCTTGGATTGGTCAGTCGTGTGCTTGGATTGGTCAGTTGTCTGCTTGGATTGGTCAGTTGTGTGCTTGGATTGGTCAGTCGTGTGCTTGGATTGGTCAGTTGTGTGCTTGGATTATCAGTTGTGTGGTTGGATTGGTCAGTTGTGTGCTTGGATCGGTCAGTTGTCTGCTTGGATTGGTCAGTTGTGTGCTTGGATTATCAGTTGTGTGGTTGGATTGGTCAGTTGTGTGCTTGGATCGGTCAGTTGTCTGCTTGGATTGGTCTTTTGTCTGCTTGGATTGGTCAGTTGTCTGCTTGGATTGGTCAGTTGTGTGCTTGGATTATCAGTTGTGTGGTTGGATTGGTCAGTTGTGTGCTTGGATTGGTCAGTTGTGTGGTTGGATTGGTCAGTTGTGTGCTTGGATTGGTCAGTTGTCTGCTTGGATTGGTCAGTCGTGTGCTTGGATTGGTCAGTTGTCTGCTTGGATTGGTCAGTTGTGTGCTTGGATTGGTCAGTTGTCTGCTTGGATTGGTCAGTTGTGTGCTTGGATTGGTCAGTCGTGTGCTTGGATTGGTCAGTTGTCTGCTTGGATTGGTCAGTTGTGTGCTTGGATCGGTCAGTTGTCTGCTTGGATTGGTCAGTTGTGTGCTTGGATTGGTCAGTCGTGTGCTTGGATTATCAGTTGTGTGGTTGGATTGGTCAGTTGTGTGCTTGGATTGGTCAGTTGTGTGCTTGGATTGGTCAGTTGTCTGCTTGGATTGGTCAGTTGTGTGCTTGGATTATCAGTTGTGTGGTTGGATTGGTCAGTTGTGTGCTTGGATCGGTCAGTTGTCTGCTTGGATTGGTCAGTCGTGTGCTTGGATTGGTCAGTTGTGTGCTTGGATTGGTCAGTTTTGTGCTTGGATTGGTCTTTTGTCTGCTTGGATTGGTCAGTTGTGTGCTTGGATTGGTCAGTTGTCTGCTTGGATTGGTCAGTTGTGTGCTTGGATTGGTCAGTTGTGTGCTTGGATTGGTCAGTTGTGTGCTTGGATTGGTCAGTTGTGTGCTTGGATTGGTCAGTTGTGTGCTTGGATTGGTCTTTTGTCTGCTTGGATTGGTCAGTTGTGTGCTTGGATTGGTCAGTTGTGTGCTTGGATTGGTCAGTTGTGTGCTTGGATTGGTCAGTTTTGTGCTTGGATTGGTCAGTTGTGTGCTTGGATTGGTCAGTTGTGTGCTTGGATTGGTCAGTCGTGTGCTTGGATTGGTCAGTTGTGTGCTTGGATTATCAGTTGTGTGGTTGGATTGGTCAGTTGTGTGCTTGGATCGGTCAGTTGTCTGCTTGGATTGGTCAGTCGTGTGCTTGGATTGGTCAGTTGTCTGCTTGGATTGGTCAGTTGTGTGCTTGGATTGGTCAGTCGTGTGCTTGGATTGGTCAGTTGTGTGCTTGGATTATCAGTTGTGTGGTTGGATTGGTCAGTTGTGTGCTTGGATCGGTCAGTTGTCTGCTTGGATTGGTCAGTTGTGTGCTTGGATTATCAGTTGTGTGGTTGGATTGGTCAGTTGTGTGCTTGGATCGGTCAGTTGTCTGCTTGGATTGGTCTTTTGTCTGCTTGGATTGGTCAGTTGTCTGCTTGGATTGGTCAGTTGTGTGCTTGGATTATCAGTTGTGTGGTTGGATTGGTCAGTTGTGTGCTTGGATTGGTCAGTTGTGTGGTTGGATTGGTCAGTTGTGTGCTTGGATTGGTCAGTTGTCTGCTTGGATTGGTCAGTCGTGTGCTTGGATTGGTCAGTTGTCTGCTTGGATTGGTCAGTTGTGTGCTTGGATTGGTCAGTTGTCTGCTTGGATTGGTCAGTTGTGTGCTTGGATTGGTCAGTCGTGTGCTTGGATTGGTCAGTTGTCTGCTTGGATTGGTCAGTTGTGTGCTTGGATCGGTCAGTTGTCTGCTTGGATTGGTCAGTTGTGTGCTTGGATTGGTCAGTCGTGTGCTTGGATTATCAGTTGTGTGGTTGGATTGGTCAGTTGTGTGCTTGGATTGGTCAGTTGTGTGCTTGGATTGGTCAGTTGTCTGCTTGGATTGGTCAGTTGTGTGCTTGGATTATCAGTTGTGTGGTTGGATTGGTCAGTTGTGTGCTTGGATCGGTCAGTTGTCTGCTTGGATTGGTCAGTCGTGTGCTTGGATTGGTCAGTTGTCTGCTTGGATTGGTCAGTTGTCTGCTTGGATTGGTCAGTTGTCTGCTTGGATTGGTCAGTTGTGTGCTTGGATTGGTCAGTTGTGTGCTTGGATTGGTCAGTTGTCTGCTTGGATTGGTCAGTTGTGTGCTTGGATTATCAGTTGTCTGCTTGGATTGGTCAGTTGTCTGCTTGGATTGGTCAGTTGTCTGCTTGGATTGGTCAGTTGTCTGCTTGGATTGGTCAGTTGTGTGCTTGGATCGGTCAGTTGTCTGCTTGGATCGGTCAGTTGTGTGCTTGGATTGGTCAGTTGTCTGCTTGGTTTGGTCAGTTGTGTGCTTGGATTATCAGTTGTGTGGTTGGATTGGTCAGTTGTGTGCTTGGATCGGTCAGTTGTCTGCTTGGATTGGTCAGTCGTGTGCTTGGATTGGTCAGTTGTGTGCTTGGATTATCAGTTGTGTGGTTGGATTGGTCAGTTGTGTGCTTGGATTGGTCAGTTGTGTGCTTGGATTGGTCAGTTGTCTGCTTGGATTGGTCAGTTGTGTGCTTGCATTATCAGTTGTGTGGTTGGATTGGTCAGTTGTGTGCTTGGATCGGTCAGTTGTCTGCTTGGATTGGTCAGTCGTGTGCTTGGATTGGTCAGTTGTCTGCTTGGATTGGTCAGTTGTCTGCTTGGATTGGTCAGTTGTGTGCTTGGATTGGTCAGTTGTCTGCTTGGATTGGTCAGTTGTGTGCTTGGATTGGTCAGTTGTCTGCTTGGATTGGTCAGTTGTGTGCTTGGATTATCAGTTGTGTGGTTGGATTGGTCAGTTGTCTGCTTGGATTGGTCAGTTGTCTGCTTGGATTGGTCAGTTGTGTGCTTGGATTGGTCAGTTGTGTGCTTGGATTGGTCAGTTGTGTGCTTGGATTGGTCAGTTGTGTGCTTGGATTGGTCAGTTGTGTGCTTGGATTGGTCAGTTGTCTGCTTGGATTATCAGTTGTGTGCTTGGATTGGTCAGTTGTGTGCTTGGATTGGTCAGTTGTCTGCTTGGATTGGTCAGTTGTCTGCTTGGATTGGTCAGTTGTGTGCTTGGATTGGTCAGTTGTGTGCTTGGATTGGTCAGTTGTGTGCTTGGATTGGTCAGTTGTCTGCTTGGATTGGTCAGTTGTGTGCTTGGATTATCAGTTGTGTGGTTGGATTGGTCAGTTGTCTGCTTGGATTGGTCAGTTGTCTGCTTGGATTGGTCAGTTGTCTGCTTGGAATGGTCAGTTGTGTGCTTGGATCGGTCAGTTGTCTGCTTGGATTGGTCAGTTGTGTGCTTGGATTGGTCAGTTGTCTGCTTGGTTTGGTCAGTTGTGTGCTTGGATTATCAGTTGTGTGGTTGGATTGGTCAGTTGTGTGCTTGGATTGGTCAGTTGTGTGCTTGGATTGGTCAGTTGTGTGCTTGGATTGGTCAGTTGTGTGCTTGGATTGGTCAGTTGTGTGCTTGGATTGGTCAGTTGTGTGCTTCTTAAGTCGTAATTGTCAAGATCAATGTTGTCATTTTTCCTTCTGACTTTAGAGGCATTCCTGGGAAGAACTGTGGAAGTATTCTTGTGAAAGCTGAAGAACTTGGAAATTGTAGGGTACGTCATTCTGAGTTTGAATGTCTTTTCGTCTTATCTCGTCTTTTTCTCTTCTCTCCAATAGTCTCATCTCGTCTCTTTCTTGTCCCTTTTCATCTCATATCTTCTCTTTTCTCTTCTTGTCTCATTTGTTTGGTTTCCTCTCATATTGTTTCCTCTTTTCTCAATTTCTCATGTCTTCCTGTCTCGTTTTATCTCTTATAGTCTTTTTTGTCTCTTGTCTTTTTGTCTCTTGCCTTATTTCTTGTCTCATTTGTCTCGTTTCTTCTTGTCTCATTCATTCTCTCCTCTTCATGTCTTGCATTGTCTCATTTATTCTCATCAAGCCTTTTTGTCTTCTTTTCTTTCTCATTTTTCCGTGATCTATGTGTCTCTGCCTGTGCCGTTTGTCCTGATCTAGTCTTGCCTATTTTGAGTCTTTTCTTTTTTCCTTGATTTGTCTCATCTCTTATTATTTCATCTCATTGCTTCTTGTCTTGTTTCTTATCTGTTCTCATCCTCATTTCTTCTCAACTCTTTTCTCCTCTTTTTTCATTTGTCATATTCTCTTCTTTTCTTGTTTTCCTTTTTCAACTTGTCTCGTATCTTCTTGTCTGGTCACTTGTCTTCTTTTCTAATCTCTTTTTGCCTCTTCTCTTTGCAAATATTCACTGAACAGAGTCATGCAGTTTGTGCTTCTTTGTGGTTTTTGTTTTTTGAAAAGTTGCTCAATATTCTCAGTACATATCAGCTGTATGCCACCATTAGTTGCTAATGTGTTTTTTGTTGATCAGGAGTCAGTACTGATGCAGTTTTGTGGCAACAAACTGGACAAGAAAGATTTCTTTGGAAAGTCAGACCCTTTCCTGGTCTTTTACCGTAGCAATGGAGATGGAACGTAAGTTTTTCATTGTTCTCCTCATTTTCCCATTACACACAGTTCATAAAATACAGACAATCGAATGTGTTTATTTATATCAGCACTTACATCCAGTGCTTAATTAGTACATTCGGATGTCCCGGAACAAAGGGGGGCGGGGGGTAACATATCCGGCATGTCACTGGGTCAGTGAAAGGTACAGTAACTGAACAGTCGGGTTTCCATCCAACTATTTTGATATGCATTTTCAAAGTGCTGAATGAAACCGGTTGACATGGGAGTAAACTCTCAGAATTAACATAAAAATATATTGCACTAGACGCAGATTCTCTTGAGTTTTGTGTTAGTTAAGATGCACATTAAGCAGTTTACTCGCATACTGATGAACATTTGTGCATGTAAAACACCATGGCATTATGTATTAAGCCCAACAACAGGTCTGACCTCGGCACACAGTTCTTCCAACATGACCCTCGACATTCGTACAGTATTCGTAAGTTTAAACTCTAGCCATATCATTTTGTGCGCCGGCGCTTCCATGTCTTTACCGAAGCTGCCAGCGGATGGGCGTAGCACTGTTTAAGCCATACGAGATATTTCATAAATTCATTTAATAAACCGATGCCCAACCATACTAATATCTCTCCGAAACAATGGACTTTATCACGACAAGGCCGGTTCCCTCGAGATATAGAGCGCATCATGTAGTGGATCCATGCGCAATGACTCACCTTTTCTTCAGTGGATTATTCAGAAAAGAGCACATACAAAATGTAAAACATTTTATTCAGTCTCACATACTTTTTAATGCGCATCTTATATTCCTAATAAATTCACGAGACGTTTCTTCTGTAAATGTATTTCCATCACAGTTCATGCGCATTTCTTTTTGTCAAATAATAAAATGATCCACCTAAAGCGAGCTTTATCCACATTTTGGAGATTTTCTTCTGTTGTGGCAAAAATTCATCTCAAACAAACATCACTGCGTAAGAGACACTCAGAGTCAAATTATATAAAATAGAAGTATTTATTCTTGCAAGAATAGGAGCAGTCTAATACACAGTTGTTACCCTGTGCAGAAGAGTGACACCCCCCCAGACAGACTGAACTAGCTTTTATCTTAGTTTCAAGGCCTTCTTCCCCCCAGAGCCTTCCTCCCAGTAGTTTTCCATAGACTAGTTGGCCCAATAAGCCCCCCTGCACCAAAATGGCCTTCTGACATCTAGGTCAGAGTTCCTTGTTCGTCTGTTCTCTGGAGTGTCCCCCTCTTCTGCCTCCCCAGGTACATAAACAGAATCTTCTCTCACTACAAGTGAGAGACACACATGTGACATTCTTTGAATCATCTATATTTGTCTAAAGATCAATGAATATCATTAAAATTTCCACTACAACTCCTCACTTTTTATCATTCTGATTACCCATAATCACAATAATAAACAATAAAACAAATTTTAAGTCATATCATCCCACTTCTGACACCAAAACTGTTGTGGCAAAAATTCATCTCAAACAAACATCACTGCGTAAGAGACACTCAGAGTCAAATTATATAAAATAGAAGTATTTATTCTTGCAAGAATAGGGTCACTCTTCTGCACAGGGTAACAACTGTGTATTAGACTGCTCCTATTCTTGCAAGAATAAATACTTCTATTTTATATAATTTGACTCTGAGTGTCTCTTACGCAGTGATGTTTGTTTGAGATGAATTTTTGCCACAACACTTCACATCTTGCTCAGCTAGAACTTGAAAAGGACGGCTCTGCACGCAAAGATTTAAAGAGGAATAAAATGTATGAATGCAAATCGCTGTGGATATTTTCACATTTCAGTAAACCAGTGGCATCGAAGTTTATGTAGGCCTATATTCTCTATACGCTGCTTATCATCCGTTGGAAAGGCGAATAGCAGTCAAATCCAATAGATCGTCGCCAAACCGTGGCATGGCACACTTTGTAGCTGCATTTCTTCTACTTCTTAATAATTTTTTATACATTTCACATGGATATAGCAAGTTATTAACATGATTATCATTATTATAGTTAATCTTCCTGAACAAATGTACACAGTACAATGAAAATATCGTTCAGTGGTGTGTGAGATGGGGGATCGGACTTCAGAGGTTCCAGATCCAGCTTGTTCCAGAACAGATTAAGCCCTGCTTATATCAGATGTATTTCAATACTACATTCGATTTTTTTAAGTCTAATATTGTGGTTATGTTTGATGCCCCATTTAATATCTTGTCTTTGAACCTGGTCTCGGTCTTCTATGACACTTTTTGACTCGCAGTAAATGATGCATATGTGATATGACCCGTTTAAGAGCCCTATTCACACTGACAGTTTCTCATCCCCAATGTTGTGCTTCCTCCTCTTTGACGTGTTTGTTTGTCAGATTTACCATCTGTCATAAGACGGAGGTGGTGAAAAACACACTGGACCCTGTATGGCAGGCTTTCAAGATCCCAGTCAGAGCGCTGTGTAACGGGGATTATGACAGGTGGGTCCGATGGTTTACTTCTGAGCGTCAACTTGGTGGGAATGAGAGGACTCAGAAACACAGTTTCTTTCATTTCTTCACACTGTAGTAGCAAATGTGCACATTTTGATGAAAAACTAAAATAAATAAATGCACACCTGTATTATAGCCATTCAAAAAAACTGTAAAAGTGTAATGTAAATGTCTTTACTGTCACTTTTGATCAATTGAATGCACCCTCGCTCAATAAAAGTATTAAAGTCGGCATGAAACAGAAATAACACTTTATTTTGCTTTGTTTGCAGAGCAATAAAAATCGAGGTGTATGACTGGGACAGAGATGGAGGGTAAGAAAACAAACAACCATTCTATAAATACTGAAATAAGACGCATCTCGAGATATTGAAGGAGACTGTGTGTGTTTCAGTCATGACTACATTGGAGAGTTCAGCACCAGCTACAGGGAGCTCTCCAAAGGCCACTCTCAGTTTACTGTGTGGGAGGTGAGCCACTTTCATCTTCCCCATGTATTTTTCACACCCGTCTGCCTAAAATAGCATAAATGTCTTCTTGAACTATCCAAGACGTTAATGCAGACATTTACATTACTTCATGAGTGTGTGGTTGAGGCTTAAAGGGATAGTTCACTTTGAAATTAATTTTTGGTATGTTTAGAAGTCCAAATTAAACATGATTTAATGACTCGTAAATGTAAGTACACATTGATGGCCTAAGACACGAAATGAGCGGTTTGTGTGAGAAAACGAACAGTATTTATATCGTTTTTACCTCTTGTAAACACAGCCACGTCCAAGTGATCTGAGGGCGCCGGCGCTTCGGTCTTTTCCGGAAAGCGCCGGAAGTGATCTCTCGCGCGTGTACGTCACTCATTGTTTACACAGAACAGAGATTGTAGGTAAGACGGCTTATTAAAATGGTACTAATTTGCGCTTATCCGGGATGTTTAAACCGTCGTAAAAAAAAAAAACAATTACGTATGCACGCACGAACTCATCCGGGAGTGGTGAGTTTTCACTTCCGGCGCTTTCCGGCGCTTGCGCAGACCGAAGCGCCGGCGCCCTCAGATCACTTGGACGTGGCTGTAGTTACAAGAGATAAAAACGATATAAATACTGTTCGTTTTCTCACACAAACCGCTCGTTTCGTGTCTTAGGCCATCAATGTGTACTTACATTTACGAGTCATTAAATCATGTTTAATTTGGACTTCTCTGTGCATGCTCTTTGAGGTGGTGACCATAGACCTGCATTATATGACTGACAGACAAGAACGGTTTGACCTAAAAATATCAAAATTGAAACTACTGCGGACACAAAGACACCTACATCTTGGATGCCCTTGAGGTAAGCTAAAACATACCAAAAATTAATTTCAAAGTGAACTATCCCTTTAAGGAAGTAACTAAAAGTAGAGGCTACTTATTTCCTGTGTAGCATTGGAAAATCTGATTAAAAAGAAGCGATAAAAAAAAATATTCAAACCTTGTTTTTTTTTAACTGTTTACCTGTTTGGTAACACTTTATAATAACTACACGCTAATAATCATTAGTTAAGCATGAGTAAACAGTTAATTCATCATTCATAAAGCATTAATAGACATTAATAAGCAGTTTATAAATACAGCTATAAATACTTTCTTCTTGATTTACAAGCATATCTATAATTTATTTAATAATTGTATTTTCATCCTTCATTAATGATCAATTTATTATTTCTAAATGAATAATTGCATTTTTTTTATAAACCAGTTATGTAAGAGTTTTCAGTGGTTCATAAGATTACTTAGAACGTGTAAGTAAATGATTAATAAACTATTTAAATGTACATCCATACATCTTATTATTCAGACATATAGTGATGGTTACTTATTGTGTTAATAAATGCTTTATTAACATGTATTTAAGCTGTAATTCAGGGTTAATTCGGGTAGTTATAAAGCATTTAGTAGTGGTCAGTTAACTATGTTTGTGAGCTCATCTAAAGTGAGGACTATTCATGCCTTGTAAAGCATTTATAAAGGAGATTTAAAGGCTGTTAAATATTTCTATGTTCTGTATCACTGTGTTGTGTTTGTTACATTTTACTGTTTAGAAGATTGATGCGCCTTCAAATCTCCTTTATAAATGCTTTACAAGGCATGAATAGTCCTCACTTTAGATTAGCTCACAAAATAGTTAACTGACCACTACTAAATGCTTTATAACTACCTGTATTTACTACATTTACTTACACCTAAGTGATCTTATGAATGACTGACAACTCTTGTTTGTAAATAATGCTATACTTCATTTAGAAATTAATGAAAGTATGAAAATACAATTATTAAACGCATTATAGATATGCTTATAAATCAAGAAAAAAAGCATTTATAGCTGTATTTATAAACTGCTTATTAATGTCTATTAATGCTTTATAAATGATGAATTAACTGTTTACTCATGCTTGACAAATGATTAATAGCATGCAGTTATTATAAAGTGTTACCAAATGTTTTCGTAAGCTACCTGAATATACTGTATACATATACTGATTTGATATGATATTAAGGTCCAGATTTACTAACAGCTTGCACCAGCGCAAACACTCTTTTGGTGTTAAAAAACTGCTGTCAGGATTTACTAAAGACACGCAGTGAAGAATTAGCGCTGAAAAGTCGAGGACAGGGTTATTTATTATTTATAAGTATTTATATCTTATTGGATATGCATTTGTAGGAGTTTCCCTTTCAGAAGCAAAATTTATGGGAGGAGAATATTTAAATGAATCATGCAAGGTGATTTACTAAGGTTTATGCTAGTCAAGTACTGGTGTTTGCGCCACTATTTAACGCTCAAAAAATGTTTTAAACCACAGTCGCGCTGCTCTTGGTAGATCGTGTTGGTCATTATGGAAATGATCCGGCAGCGTTTGTGTTCTTTAATGTGTGTGTGTCGTCAGTAGATCATGTGCAGAACTTTACACTCCCATCGAAGCTTTTTTGGTATTGCGCTCTTACGCTAATTTGCCCTATTCAGTAAATCTGGCCCTAAATGCACTGATATACAGTGACTCTTTTGCCCTCTTGAGAACTGTGTCTGCGCTTACTTATTACCATCCCTTTGAAATCTCATCTTTTTTCGTCTTTTGTATGACCTCAACATCACTGAAGCATAAATCATGCCCATGACAAGAACACTTAAAGTGGCCACTGCACAAGAACCTTAGACAACAGCGAGAGGTCTAGCAAACGTCTCCAAACCTTCATCTCCACCAAGAGCTTCTGATGATCTAGTTTTTCACACAATCTTTATCCATCATCACTGTCCAGAAACTCCTCACAGTGCATGAATTTCTTTCCACGTAATTCTTGAATTCTTAGTGTGCCTATATTCACATATTGTGGCAAAAGTGAGAAAATGCTGGATATGCTTCAGAGATAAATATATTTTGTAATAATTTTACATAAATCTTACATTTTGGGTAACCATTTTTTGAGATTCAACAACATTTCAATAACTTTCTGTGTCTGATTTTGCTGCCTTTCTGTAGGTGCTGAACCCCAAGAAAAAGAAAAAGAAGAAGAAATATCTAAACTCAGGAACCGTGAGTGCATTTTTAACTCGATCTTCCCGTTTAATTAGCGAAGAAAAAAAAGTACTAAAAGTACTAAAAAACAGCAATACCTGTTTGTTCTAACAAACAAACATCCTTATTGGTAAGACTTCTTATAGAAGGTCCTACATTATATCTTCATAAGCAATGCACAATGCGTTCATAAGCTGTGCATATAAATATTCATAAATGTTGATGTAGCTCATCATTGGTCTCTGAGGCTGTGACTCTAGAGAGTTACATCATCACCCTGAGCATGAATATTGATATGACATTTATGATTAAAGTATGCATTGCTTATCGAAAGTGTGATGATGCCCTTTAGGACTCTACATAGGAAGTGTTACCAAACTTTCATGTCGACAGGTCACTCTGCTGTCCTGCTTCATTGATGTTGAGGTCACGTTCCTGGACTACATCAAAGGAGGGTGAGTATTTGTGTGTGTGTGTGTGTGTGTGTGTGTGTGTGTTCAGTACAACTATAAATACATTTTATACCATATGAAAGGTATAAATATGATATGTAAATATATAGGCATTTGAAAGATTTTATTCTGTGGTGAAAACTTCCATAATGCATATTTTACTGTTAATTATATATTTTTACAGTACAATACAGTTAATATATATATATATTTTTTTACTTTTTGTGTATATGAAATACTATGCAAAAATACATGTTTTAAACAGTAGTATGCATGTCCTTTTTACTCCAATGAGCAAATCAACGGAATTTTATTACCGTAAAACCATGTTTAATTTGAAAAGTTGCATCTAGTTATACAATTAATAGATACGTTGTTCTAGAAATTGTGGAATTCTGCATCTCACATATTTAGCAAATGTGACGTCATCCGGGTATTCCATGCATACAGAAGTATGGTACGAACATACTCAAGCTCATCTACTGAGACTGGAAACACATTGCTGTGCCTCACCATCCATTAATAATCCCCTCTTCCTTCCCTTCGCCTTTCTCCACGTCAAACACACACACACACACACACACATTCACAGGGAGTGCACTGCATTATGATGCTGTAATAAACTGAGCTATAAATAGTCCGCTCTATTCTGAGAGACACAGAGACCCCAGGCACATGACCTGGCCTTCAAACAGTTGAGCAAACACAGGAAATATCGGCTGAATAATTCGAAGGATCTGCAAAAAGACTACTGTGGAAAATTCTTACAGACACTTTGCGAATATCGCTGTATATGCATTCTGTTTAACAGACAGAAAAACCAGGAAGCGGCAGAGAGAATATTAGATAAACAAAAAGATGCTCTCAGGGAATAATTTCCTTCATTTCTGCCCACAGATTAAATTGAGCTGAGACATAGTTTCACACAGTCAGCTCACTGGAGATTTCACTGAGGAGCTTTATTATGCTATGATAAGCATCATATATTTTATGTTATAATACATATGTGCTCACTCTAGTGTTTTTGCTCTGTTCACTTGCAGCACGCAAATTAATTTCACGGTGGCGATTGATTTTACTGCGTCAAACGGTGAGCTTACATTACTGAAAAATTGCATTTCAAATAAAGAAAACATCATGTACATGTTTTGATAATGGCTTATTTTTATCTGTGTGTATGCAAATTTAATCTTTATGTATATATTTATTTATTTATGTGTACTTCTAAAAATGAAAGCTTTATTACTTCTGAACTTACAAGAGATCATTATTTTCCCACCCTAGACCAAAGTACCAATTATAAATTTGTAACCTTCCAAAGATCTAACAGTTGTGTTAAAAGTGCACAGAATTTGTACAGATACTGTGTCAAAAATGTCTCAATTAAAAGTCACAGATAGGATCCCATTTAATTATACTCAAGTATTCAAAAGTTCAAATTAAACACATCAAAAACAAGAGGTGGTAGAGAATGTCTCACAATTTTCTCATTGTTCTGACTATGTAAAACATTAGGACAGCGGATGTTAAACTGAAAGCAATATCTTCAAGTCTGTTACCTGAATATTTTTAATTACAAGTCACATTCAATTACCAGTCATATTTCTTTTTCAAGACATGTTATGAGTTGAATATTACAGTGTTAGAATGGCTAGCAAATATCATTTAATCATACATTATTATTAACAGTAAAACCAAAAATAATCACAGATTATTTACCCATAATGTTGAACTATTCAGCTTAAAAGAGCTAACTTAATGGCACACATAAAATGAATTACTGCTAAATACCCTTAGTTGTAAGTGGTCAAAATACACTCTTAAGATAATGGAAGATAGATCATTTATTTTTAAAAGGGGAAATTTCACTGCATAACAAGGTTGAAAAGAAACGTCTCAGGTTACACATGTAACCCAGTTCCCTGAGAGGGGAATGAGACGCTGTGTCAGGTTGTTGACGCTATGAGAACAACACTATAGTACATTACCGAAACCATAAATAGATACCTGAACAGTGTGTCGTCAGGTTCTAATTGTCTGAAGATGCACAGGCATAACCAGGGAGTGGCAACATGACAAGGCGTCTCGTTCTTCACTCAAGGAACCTGGTTACATATGAGACCTGAGATGTTCCCTTTCGAGTGGGACTCAATGCAGCATCATGGCGTTGACGCTATGGGATCTTCAATACCAACGCCGCCACGCAGTGGGATAGTGCCTGCCCAACAAGACTGTATATGTGCACAGACAGTTGTTGAGCGCAGGCTGAATCCAGATCTACCCATAAGGACTTGAGACCCTGGGGCTAAATCTGCATCCAGACTATAAAACCTGATGAATGTGTATGGAGAGGACCATCCTGCCGCAGCACAGACATCTTGTAAGGATGCACCCCTGGAAAGAGCTTTGGAACACTCCTAGTGGAGTGGGCCCTAACCCTTAAAGGCAAAGCCATATTGCATGCCTTGTTGGAGAGAGAGATTGCATCAGTGAACCTTTGCAAGATAAACTACTTGGTGACGCATTCCCTCTATTGTGGCCACCAAAGAAGACCAGAAGCTGAGAGTATTTACGCCACTGGCATGAGGGGTGAACATAGATCCTCAGAGCATGGACCGGATATAACAGGTGCAGACTTTCTTGCTTTTGCATCTCATGAACCAGAGGCAAGGAAGCCTGCAAGACCACTGGCTGACCAGCTAATATATAATGAACTTTTGGAATATAGTCTGGTCTCGGATGCAGTATATCTCTGACATCACCTGAAGCAAAGTCTAAGCAGGAGTTTCCAGATTTCCAGCTCTACAGCTTGGGGTGGTAGATCATCCCCTGCACTTGAGATTCTCCCATGGAATGCCCTCTAGTAGAGATATTAGGACCAAGAATCATACTTTGGCCATCCAGAACAGAGCCACTAGGAGAAGGTGGACTTGGTCCTGGCAAACCCTTGTTAGAACCCCCGGGACCAGAGCTGTCGAAGGAAAGGCGTACAGTCTCAGCCCACGTCTGTACCATGGCATCCAGCCCCAGAAGAGCTGGAGGTGTGAGGGCGTACCAGATGAGACAGTGGGTCATCTCCTCTGAGGCGAACAGTTTCACTTCAGCTTCACCATACCTCTGCCATATGGACTCCAGCACTTGATGGTGGAGTTGCCATGATGGAGTTGCAGATCCTGCTCTCCCCAGAGCAGGATCTGCTGCGCCTGCCTGAAAAAGGGACGCAACCGCAGCCCGTACTGGTGATTTATGTAAGAGACTACCAATGTGTCTGTGTGGACTAACACATGATAGCCCCTCAGGTGTGGGAGGAAGTGTTTCAATACTAGAAATACTGTCCTTATTTCAAGGCAATTTATGTGCCATTAAAGATGAGGGTCCCCCCAAAGTCCACTGGCCCAGCCAGTGAGGGAGGTGTCCGTCATCAAAGATTTGCGATGGCAACATGCTCCAAGAGCCTGGCCCTTGTTGAGGAACCAGGCACATAGCCTGTGGCATGTGATCCTTACGACCCTGGAGGGATGATTCAAAGCATGAAAACCTTTGCTTTTTTTGTGCCAGAACTGGAATGGTCTTGTGTGCAGTAAGCTTAGTGAAATGACGTTGGCCGCTACCACCATGAGACCACTAACAGTCTCTGAACCTGTAAGACTCAAAGCTCCTGGCCTATCCTGAAATCTTTCATAGCAGTTAGGATCGATTCTACACATGCAGGAGACAGATGTGCCTGCATCGTGGTTGAATCCCATACCACCCCCAGAAAAGTGGTTCTCTGACCTGGAGAAAGTACACTCTTCTTGGACTTCAATTTCAGCCCCAACTTCATGTGGGCGAGCACAACATCTCGATGCCACCAATTTCTTTGATTGAGCTAATATCCGCTAATCGTCTATGTAATTTAGTACACAGATGCCCTGGAGTCTCAAATGAGCCAGAGCAGCATGCACATGATGAATGTGAGTGGGGATAAGGCTACGCTGAACTTGATATTGGTACGCTTCGCCCTTGAATGCAAACCTGAGAATTGTCCTGTCCAGGGTCCATGGTTGTCAGGGCTTCTTCTTAGCCGCCCTAGAGGAAGTAACAACTAAGATCCTGTCTCCCCCTGGATGACTGTGCCTGTGAGCACTTCTCTGTCCCCTTGTCTTTTAAGGGGGAACACTGGCCACCACACTGTCCTTTTGTTCTTCTCTCCTACCACTGGGCCCTGGCCTGGAGCGGCTGGTGGATGGAGCTGGCTCCTGGAGTCTGCGGGGTATCAGTTCTCTGCATACCGGCAATTGTTTATTGGCCTCCTGGTACCTGTCGACAATGGTGTTGACTGCGTCTCGGATTAAGCCAGAAGGCGAAATCGGGGCATCCAGAAGGAAAGCCTTGTTTCTTTCTTTTTTCCCCCTTGAGGTTGAGCCACTGATGCCACTCCTTTACGACCACAACAGCCACTTAACGACCAATGGGTAACTAATATGATTAAATCCCTCACCATAATCCAACTCTTTAAGCAGATCACCCCTGTAGGCCTGCAAGAACTCCATGGTGTGCTAGAGAGACACGCCAGCCTGATGTGCTGCTGTGTATGCCTAACCCACAAGGGCAGATGTTGCCCTACAAATCTTTGTGGGTAAGGCATGTTTCCTCGGCGACGATGCGCTTGAGGTGGGGAGATAGCCTGCACGGCATTTTACACCGTCGGCATTGCCTCTTACCCGTGCTTGCACATACCGTTCACTGTGAAGTATGTTGAGGTGGCCTGATTATGCACTCGCACCGAGTAAGGATTCCTCCAAAACCTCAACACCTCATCAGACCAATCTAGATTTAATTTGGCCATGGCCCGAGGCACTACCTCAAGCAGTTATTCGAATGCGACAGATTGAGAGGACTGCTCTGCCAAAGCACCCACCTGTCTGTTTGCATCCAACTCTTTAGAGTCAGACACAGCCAGCATGAGTTCCTTGTCTGAAGCACCCATGCAAGTCACCCATTATAAAATGTGGGCACTGTATCACACATCTCCTAAATCTTAGACCTGACATTTTGAATCTAACACCTGGTCTAAAGACAGTACAATGCACACACAAACAGCAAACATGCTCAAACATATGGCTTCTGAAGACAAAGAAGTAGACAATGCATTGTTCAGGCATCTGTTTATGGTATTTACTTTTCTGTGCCATACTATGTTACATCACTACGTTATCCCAATCACCCAATCAGGAATTGCTGTGTGTAGACAAGTGCTTCAGACACCGGCGTCAACGCTATGATGCGGCGTTGAGTTCCACTCGAAAGTGAACTGCAGTGACATCAAATTATCAAATACTGTGTGTAGATCATCATTGGTACACAAGTTACAAAGATGGCACTATTATATTAGAATTGCCCAAACTTCTAAATCATTACTGGTACAGCATAAATTCTCACATTCCAGTTTACATTTATATTTAAATACTTTATTGATTCATGTATTTTTTGCTCTATTTATCACAGGCAACCCTTCCCAGCCTACCTCTCTACACTACATGAGCCCGTATCATCTGAATGCGTATGCACTGGCACTCAGAGCCGTGGGGGAGATTATTCAGGACTATGACAGTGATAAGCTGTTCCCTGCACTAGGGTTTGGTGCAAAACTACCACCCGATGGCCACGTGTCTCATGAATTTCCCCTGGTGAGGACAATTATTTTCCAATCTATTATTAAGATTATTAAGAAAGTACATGCTTGCATTTTATTTGTTCTCAAATGTACGCATGTTTTTGTTTGAGTATCTCAGGTGTCTATTTGTCAGTGGGAGTATAACCTGCCCAGTCTTGCTTTACATGCTGTCTGCTTGCAATCTGATCGTACTACATGGCACTTACTGATCGGCCTCTGCTGTATGTATAGTTAGTGACCTTCCTTGCTCAACATTGAAATATTCTGGTTCAGTGTTTGCATTCCTGCGGTGTGCTATCAGAGTTCCTCTGCTATGGAGGATATTATGTATGTCTATATATGCAGTAGCAGCAATGTGTCCAACATGCTCACAGCAGCATGTCTCTGTATGTCTTGGCAGTAGCAGTCCCTGTACTTTCTCTGCAGCAACAATAAGAAAAGGAGCAGTGGTAGCTGCAGTTACAGTGTGCGTAGCAGGTCTAGTCCACTAAGAACAAGTACATTAACATTGTCATACTCTTTAGCTGTAACGACTGAAATATTCTAAATGGTGTTTTTTTTATATTGGGGTAAGAATAATGTTATAAAAAAAATCAAATCAATTTACCCATTACCCATAGCTATGCTTTGTATGTAAATGATTTTAGAACCATTTTGTCAACATATTTATGCATGTGCATGTGTCCTGTGTGTGGCTTTTTATGCGTTCACACAACGACTTAAAAAAAAATGTTTTAAGTGCCATTTTAATAAGGTGAATCATTGTCAGCATTTCATTGCACATATAAACACACTTTGTCTGTTTTTGAGGGCCCCCTGAAGTCCTGAACATTTTAGGTGTCTCATTTACCTTACAAACCCAGTTGAATCAAGTGTGTGGAGAGATTTAAATTCTACAATCCTTGGGCCCAAAGAAGATACAATGAGAAACAGTGGGCTATGGCAGGGGTTGCACCATCGGTATGCTTTTAGTAGGGTATGGCACCTACCCAGGTCCCTGTCAAACACCAACCATAGACTATACACATCTAGCTGGGCTACCTGGTATTGGTGTACCCCTCTATCTACAGCTCTTTCAGATCCACTTCTGAACCTGTTCTCCAGCAGGACCCTTAGAGCCCGCACTTAACGACTAGGTGCAACTTTTATTCCTGTGTTGTTGACCTATTTCATATTGGTTAGGATGTATTGAGTGTGATTCTCTTTTATTCAATAGGCAGTTAACCCTGTCTTTTCAGTTACTGTACCTTGGACAAGCACAATAAAGTGCTAAATAAAGGGCAAAAATAATTTCCTTTCTAATCAATTGATGATTAGGGAAGGAATTAAAGTAGGAATATTAGCCGTAAAGAGACTGTCAATTTTAAATGCGATCATCTATTAATGTTATTTTTGTCAACTTTTTTGGAGTACATATAAGCATACAGATGAGCTAACAAACATGAACCGAAAGCCAAAAAGCTGAAATTTGGATTTCACACACCCCCTAGACAACCACACCACTGGTATCCAAATATGGGCTCTTGAGGGGTGACTAACTGATAAATATGGATGAGACAGTTTATAAAGGAGATTGAAAAGGACTGATAGACATTAGCAAATGGAGATTACCCACAGCTGTCTCACATTTCTAAAGAGGACAGAATTTATTTTCTTTTCTATTTTTCCCCCCGTTCCACACCCACGAAACCGTCACAGAGAATCTATCACATAATCCCATATACAGTGAGACACAGATCCTTTTTATTGGACCAAACAGATGCACTGCCTGCGGCCGCAGCTGCCCACACACGGCTAAAACACACACACTTTTCCTCAGGGCTGAGCACAGGAGACTCCATATGCACTCAGCAGAGCATTAAAGCTTTACTTGAATGAATAGCTGTAACGATCACCAGTGAGAGTGCCCGGGATAACCATCAGAGGGCACTCCAACCCGGACAATCACCACACATCCACAAACTACATTTCCCATAATCCTTTGCCCAGACTAATCAGCCATGATCACATTCACCTGTATGTCATTACCTTGTTTAGCTCACCCCATATAAGTCTGGTTTTCACATTCATTCCCTGCAAAGTCTTGTTTAGTGTTTGTACTGCAATTCTGAGACACGAAGGTTGAGGATCCAAATGCAGTTTTATTGAAAAGAGTATAATCCAAAAACGTAATCCAGAAAACAGGCAATAGGTCAAACACACTGGGTAATCAATCCAAACAATAACAGGGTTTTAACCTTTAACCTTTTAAAAGTATTGTCTTTAAAAAATGGTTGTAAAGTGTACTGCCAAATATACTGACAAGCATTTATGGTAATGGTAATGCAATTTAGTACATTTAAAATATAATAACTGTAAATGTAATATTGAGTAACACACTACAATTGAAAAATGTCAGTCAACACATCAAAAAAATTACTTTAAAGCACGACAAAAGATTATTAAAATGTAATGATTTAAAATGTACTTTACTAACTTTGGTAACACTTAATTTTACAGTGTCCTTGTTACACGTTACAATAGTAATAACTATAAATGATGCATAACTACATGCAACTAACCCTAAACCAAACTCCAATCCTGACCCTATAGTAAGTATGTGGTAACACTTTGAAACTATTGAAACACATATTTCAATAGTCCACTTTAGATATTCTACTAAAAATGAAATTAAATGAAATACACTTTTTTATCCTCAAGGGTAAATTTGTTTTGGACTCAAGGTGCATTTACATTGACAATTTGTTGGATCCATAAACAATAAATGCAACAATACATAATAACAATTAGGGGTGTAACGGTACACAAAAATCACGGTTCGGTACGTACCTCGGTTTTAAAGTCACGGTTCGGTACGTTTTCGATACAGCAAAAAGTAAGAAATGCCAGAGAATTTCCTATTTGTTAAAAGAAAAAATATTTTTTAAATAAGTGTGAGTTTTCCTACATCTTGAAACTTTCAGGTCTATAAATGGGGGTAATCTTTGAAGGATGAACAAATAATGTTTTGGTCATCACATTAAAAATAACATTTAAATATATGAAGAGTTCAGATGCAAAAGCCATTTGAAATTTTCTTCTAGAATGATCATTTTTTATCAAGCTTGTATATTTAAGTTCAGTAATTTCACTTAAATGGCAATGAAGATTACCTATTAATTGTCATTTGAGTGAAATTACTGAACTTAAATATACAAGCTTCATAAAAATGATCATTCTAGAAGAAAATTTCAAATGGCATTTAGAGGCTTTTGCATCTGAACTCTTCATATATTTATTTATATAATATTTGAGTTTTGAAGTGCTGGAAAAAGATGTGTGAAGTACTTGAAAGCATTTCACTATTCCAGCCACACTGGTTACCATTTAGTGTTACTATATTAAATCCATGGTGAATGTTGCTGGTCTGTGGACGTAAAGTATTACTAGTTCATTCACGGCACAATGTTTCTCCTGGTGTCCACGTCAGCGCTGTTTGATCTAATAGAGATCTACGGTTAATAACGGAGAAATGTGAATGCTTCTCACTAGATCTCGCAGTGATGTTATTACTTCAGTGGCGAATTCAAATGTTTTCTTCACTGGATCTCTGAGCGCTGTGTAGTAACAGTGTCGCTTGATCGAGATCGGCTCGCGCTGCACAGATGTTGCTGGTCCGAACTTATAAACGGTCCGTGAAGCACAATATAATGAGTAGCGCAGTTTCGTTCCGCTTTCATTCTTGCCATTTGATGTTGCGCAACGCTGTGGTGGTCGCGCCAGCGCGAATTTTGTCGGCAGGAAAAATGGTCCAAGGAATCGTTCGGTTTGTATGCGCACCGAACCGGAAGCCTCGAACCGAAACGGTTCAATACGAATACATGTACCGTTACACCCCTAATAACAATACATAATAATAAAAACACTTGATAATGTACTAACTATACGTAACTTTGCAAGTACATGTCATCTAACTCTCAATAGATTATCAGTTCACTGTCTGCTTAATATCTGCTCACTCTATTTTGATGGACCCTGAACATACATTCTACTGACTAGAAGTAACCTTGGAAGTACATGTCAAATTATTCTACTAACCCGAACCACAGTCCTACTCAACTCAACTCAACTTTATTTATATAGCACCACTAAAAACAACAGTAGTTGACCAAGGTGCTGTACACTATATCAGACATCAGTCCTAATCCAGGGGCACAACTTACACGTCTAACAGCTCTTGAACCATAGAACACCAACACGGGTTGCCAAAGGTGACAAAAGTGTTATCAATTGGGTGAACAACAGAAATCATACATCGATAGCTTTGCTAGTGAGAATGTTGAAAAGAGTTTTGAAGAACAAGCCTTTCCTAATGTGGAAATTTACATGCCCATGATCAATTTCAGTTGGCAGTAGGAAAGGCTAATATGAAGGAAGTTGAATGGACATATCAAGACACCCGGAAAGGAAATGTAGACCCTTTCTTTTGGCCAATTCCAGACAGAGGCAGCCCGGGTCTATTGGACCCAAGAAACAGGGGAAGTGATGTGGACACATTGTAATGGATGGGGATGGGGCAAGAAAAGTCTTAAGAGGAATTGGACCTCAACAATCTTAAAATGGTGGGTCTAATAGATAGTTTTAGTTGGAAACGCACACCTAGGACTGGCAGGCCGCCTTGGAAGAGGGCGTCTAATGTTTTATGAGCCTGAGGTAAATACCAAAGAGGTTTAATTAAAAAAAAAGTAAGATATCTCTCCCAAATGGAGTCTTATTTGGGATATTATACATAGCAATTGTTTTCGCCTAATTCGATAATAATCGTATACCTGAATATATACTGAATCCTAAAGCTTAACCTTAACTTAAGGGACATAACCCAGGGATGTGTGCTGGAACCAAACACTAAACCTATCCCATACAGGGCATTGCGGCTTAATTTAACCCCAGGCGGAGTAACCCTGTTCCACAACTGACCCTGTATCTGAACTGTGCCCTACCCTCTCATGGAGATTGAGACTCAATTAAACCCTAATAGGCTGGACCTTTTTTTTTTTTAAAGGGGGGAGGGGAGGTAAAATCAGTGGAGGTAGTGGATCAGCACCATCAAAAACACGCTCGGGTCAGTACAAGTTACTTATTGTTAGTAAAATATCTAAAGTGGACTATCAAAATAAAGTGGTACCATACAGGTAATTAATTAATGCTCAGTAAATGTATAGTTACACTGTAACAAGGACAGCTTAAAATGAAGTGTAACCAACATTTTAATTTGACATTATACAGTCATGAAAGTGTACTCTTCAAGAACACATTATTTCATTATTATTAAATCATATGCAAGTTTTATTAAAATATACTTAATAGATTTGAGGTATTAAGTGCACATTTAATATAATTAAGCAAACCTTTTCACAAGGCTCATACTCACTTGGCTTACATCCTTCACTGGGATGCTAGTATTATAAACTTATGCATATGTATACATGTGTATATTTATATGTGTACTTACAGAATGGGAACCCAGATAACCCATACTGCAGCGGGATAGAGGGCGTTCTAGAAGCGTATTACCAGAGTCTGAAGTTTGTTCGTCTCTATGGACCAACATACTTCTCCCCTGTCATTAATCATGTAGCAAGGTGAGGCCAATTTTATTTAAACATTCTTAAACACTATCACACTTGCTATTATTGTAAAGCATTGTTCATGGATGCGAAGGAGAGAATCTATGGGAGGCAAGAAGCTAAGAACCCATGTGCAGCTTTATTCCAAATGAACATGAACCAATAAACAAAGACTTGGCTTGGCTTGACAAGATACATAACCATAAACAGACATGACAGAATCGAAGCAAGAATCTATAAAATAAACTCCTAATTGAAACAACCAAGCATAAAACATGAATATAAAAAAACACAGGATAATGATCAACTAAACAAGAAACAGGTGAGCCCAATCTGTAACCAAGGAAAACAAACAGGAAAACAGATACTAAATAACAAAACTAACTCACAGAGTCCCAGCAACATAATATGTACTCTACACATTTGACAATTACAGCCATACACTGTAAAATATCCCATTAAAGTTACAGTAATTAAAACAGCAGCTATTGCCTGAAATTCATTGTAAAACTGGTAACGCTTCCTTCCTACAGTACAGTACTTACGTGTACTTACAGTGTACTTACCTAGAAAGTACTGGCTAATGTAAGGTAAGTACATGGGTTAGGGGTAGGTTCATGGTTAGTACCTAGTTATTACCCAGTAATTGTAATTACTATAATAAGTACCTAGTAAGTACATGGGTAACAGGACTGTAAAAGGAAGCGTTACCGTAAAACTATTGTGACAAAGTTTCAGGTTTAATGGGATGGAATTTTGGAGCTTTATATTTTACAACATATAACTTTATTTCATTAAGTGATATTTCAAAATATGCTTTGTATATACCAATATGTATTGACCATGATAATAAAGGTGGTACAATAGAAAACCAGATAATAAAGGTGGTACAATAGAAAACCAGATAATAAAGGTGGTACAATAGAAAACCAATCATGTTGACAGTAAAATAATGCAACAAACATTGACTTAGGAAATTCCCCTAATATATATTACTAATCATAAAACGAAGTAAACTATATGATGTGCCACACAGGGACATCTGGAAATGTACTTTTACTCATTGTAAATTATATGGTAATTTATTATTTTTGCCTTCAAAAAACATACATCTGACAGTGTTTTACATTAAAAGATTTCAGACACCTTTATTTTTTTCCACATTTTGATATACTGCAGTATTAGGCTACAAATCTTTACTAAAATGTTATGTTATTGCATCTCATTAGTTATTCTCATTAGAGAACCAATTGTAGACAAAAAGTGCATACTTGGAAAATTACCACAAATAGTATACCATCCAGGTACTTTTGACTTTTTTTTTATGTACTTTTCTTTGTGACACCAGGATGGATTAGATTTTAATGGTGATTCAGCCCTGTGTCTGTTACAGGGATATGAAGTAATCAGCTTTCTTTTTTGCAGATATGCATCATTAGTAAAGGATGGTTCAGAATACTTCATCCTCCTCATCATCTCTGATGGGGTCATCTCCGACATGGCGCAAACTAAAGAATCTATCGTAAACGTAAGTTCAAAAACACAGTTCTTGGAAACATTACACCATTCAGAAAAACAAATGAAAAGACAAGTGTGGCATATTTCTAAAAATGACAATGAACAGCTGACACCAACTTTTACGGTATTACTTTATTTTTCTAAACAGCAAGATTTGTACATAATGACCCAACGTGTCCCGAAGGCTACGTTCACATTGTCAGTCCAATTCCAATTATTTGTGTATCCAATTGGGATCTGATCTAAAAGTATTGACCGTCCACATTGTGTAACGCATCTGTTCAGATCCGACTTGTGTGTCCCGTAGCGCTCTGTTGTTTTTCGGAATATCTGCATTGCTATGGGAATTATGCTGCGTTTGGTAGCTATACACCAAAAACAACAACAACCGCAACATGGAGGGGTTTGCATTACAGACGTCATCTTGTCTTATTTACAACATGACACCGCCGCACTGGACTACTGTGTATTATGAGGCAGCGTCAGAAGCGTATGAGGCTGGTGTGTGTGGTGTCTCTGCTGGTCTCAAAACATGTCTCCGCTCTTCCGGCAATTTGCAACAAGTCAAGTCAAGTCATCTTCATTTATATAGCGCTTTTAACAATGTAGATTGTTTCAAAGCAGCTTTACAGAGACAAACATACAATTTACGGTAACAGAGATTGTTTTGGCTTTATAGCGATTTTGAATAATGTTATTTCTGGCTAAAGTTGGTTTTGATTGATTCACTTCCAGCAAAATTATCATTTGTTATTACATTAGGGGCCACTAAGACGACACCGTTCTCTCTAAACAGACTTTAAATGCGAACCTGTGACCTGATGGCGTTCACATGCGCATTAAAAATTGATTCTATAGTTATATTCGTTTGAATATGTGTGCGCAGGTTTGTAATTTCCCTACAAACCATGCCTAAACAAACTACTTGTCTTGCCTATAAATTTGATGCAGAATTTTATTTTATCACTTCGAGGTACGCAAACCGGATTTTCAACAACGCTTTATCTGTAGAGTGGGAAAGGGATCCTCCATAGGGAGAGGATTGACACTTCAGCACTGCATTGTCATCGGGTCCAGGCGACACAACACAAGCTTGTTTCTGCAATGACTTTCAGCATGTTTCCTAGAACAACATCTGATGTTTATGTTTTACTTGGCATGAGAAAGTCACATAAACCACGCAAAATCCGATCAGAGCAGTCAGACTGAAACTGGATCAAAGTTCAGGGAAGGAAGAGGCGGGAACCGGCGAACGTTTTACACACTTTAATCATAAAGTTTGAACGTAGCCTTGGTTATGCCTCAACCCTGCTACTGTCTCGTTTGATCTGTGTTTGTGTTTGTTGAGTTGGACTTTGAGTTAGTTTTGCTCTCCTCCCAGTTCAGTTTTCTTTGTCTCTGTTCATCTGTTGCCATAGTGTTTGATTTGCCCTCATGTGTCACACTTGTTTCTAGTTAATTATCTCGTGTATTCCCTCGTGTTTGCCTGTGTATGTGGACAGTGTCAGTTGTCCCTTGTCCATTATACTCAATGTATGCTTCTTGTTCTGTTCATGTTCTGAGATACCTGCGCATTTTGTTATTTTTATTTTGTTATTTATATAGACTTCTGCACATAGATCCTGCTTTTATTTTCATCCTTTGCCTTAACCACGCTCTGACAGTTACCATAAATCAACAAATCCATGGATGTATCATTAAGACATCCTACAGAATTGAATTATTTGTCCAAATTTAATTTTATGTTTGTAACTTAGTTATGATCTTAAAATGTCAACCCTGTTTCCATGATTTTGTAATAGACAACTGGTAATTGATTTTAAAAAGGAGCTTGTAGTTTTACTGCCTTGAGCACAAGATTTCAAATGGGGTTTATGTGCAACAAACTTATGTATTCTGTAAAAAGGGTTGCATCGCTGTGGGTTCAGGTCTTTTGAATGTGTTTCATTAAATATAGAGCTGTTTTACTAAAGATGCCTTTAAAGGAGCTACCAAAGATGAGCATAATCGATGTCCGTTGGAATGCAGATTGATTTCTAAAAGTTTTTTTATTTTCTTAACATCTCTTAACATTTATTTTTTTCTAGCTAGGTCAGCTGATTGCCTTAAAAGTCCATAGATATCGGCGTCAGTTAACACTTTCTCCGACAAACGGATGTGATAAGACCCAATGATGTTCGACACCAAGCCTATTAAACTGTAAAATGGTCAGCCCTGTTATTGTCCACCCTGTTTCCTTTCTGAATGCATAAATATGTCCCTAGCATATACAGTACGATACGCCTGATAGAATTTTTAAAAATGTACAAAAAATGTAAATAGAAAACTGAAAATAGCACAAAATGATCCTTAATAAAAAAAGTCCAAGTTTGTTTACTTTGACAACAACAGTTCTAACCATTCATCATTCTAATCACTACAAGAGATTATTGGATGAAGAATGAGACTATCATTGCACTGAATACAACAGAAGAATTTACGCCTACTTACAAAAGTTGTTGATTCCTCTTTGTGGATACTATTACAATAAGTACATAATTAGAAAAATGCCTTAAATTGAATCCATTTGTCTTTCCTTCAAAACACGTCAGCCGGGACACTGAAATGTGATATTGTACAGACTGTGATGGGCAGAGAGTCTTTTAACAGGGGCAAGAGTCGTTCATAATGTGTCAGTGTGCAGATGAGCAAAGAACATTACATGAGCTTTATGAATGTGCCTCATATTTCCATAATTACATCCCACTGGCTGCCGCCCCATGGCACTTTCCTCAAATATGGCATAAAGTTAGGATCAAACTTTAAATGAGCATAAAAGTTCAATCAGATTTATAAGATATAAACAATATACTGCAGAATACGTAACAGGGTTGCAAGTAACAGTTACATATTTGTATATTTTCAACTAAAATTGAGCCATAATTTAGAAGGGGCCTACCTCTTTGTAGTTATTGATACATATAAAACATTAATGTTTTTTTTTTTCTTTCTTAAAATAACTTGGTAACCGGGTTGAATAGTAGATTTTGACAAATTCAACAAATAATGTGTGTTAAAATTGAGTTATTTAAATTAAAATTAGTTAGTTACAAAAAAAATATATATAGTCATTTAAAGTGTTTAAAATTAGCCATTGCTTTAAAAAACCAGTTTGCACCTCAAATGTCTCTATGATAGATCTGAATGCAACATTGTAATACTATGACTACAAGTCTGTTTTGTGCATGTTTCATTATGCAAATGTTGAATTATATGAGGAGTGTGTTCTTGGGGGTCTTGTTTTAATGAACTATTTCCTTCTGTTCAAGGCCTCAAGTCTTCCCATGTCAATTATAATCGTTGGAGTCGGGCCGGCCGAATTTGACGGTAAGATGAGAGAGATGTGTGTGTCTTTGAGGATGTGTGAAGATATGATATCAGTCCAGTCCATCAGAGACTCAGAAGACCAGATCAGATCAAAAGAGAAACCTGTTTCACACATGTTCCAGTGAGACCAATCAGACATTTTCCAAAACGTCATTAGTAGTGTATGCACTGTAAAAGCTTTGATTTTTCCATTGGCTCATCAGTTCATTCCTTAACTAACCCTGCACCTCTCCTTTCATCTGGTAAATGTGTGATCCAGTTACTTTTGGTTAAACTTTTCTCACTGCCTATTGTGGAGTTGTATAATTTCATATTATTTGTATTGTAATAGCGCAATTTAATATGAATAATTTGCACTCACTGATATTGTTGTTTGTGTGTCATGATGACCACTAGAAAATGTACAAACATCCCTTTTAGCTTTAAATACCACCAACTTTTTGTGGACAATAACAGTGCAAATATAGCCTTAATGTATGATTACATTTTGGAATGTTCCCCAATATGGATGTAAACAAATCAACTGCAGTATCTCCATAAAAGTAAATAGAATATTATATGTTAGGACTCACAATCATTTTTTTTAAATGATTTATGAAATAATATTTTTTCACAAGTAAATTAATTTGACAACAGACTACGGTAATATAGTAGGCTATTTCTTACATTAACTGATTTGTTAAACACATTCGATGCTCTAGGCTTATATCTCTTGGCCTACACTCAATGAACAACATCTCAACACTAAATTAAAGGCCTGTCTCATATAGACGCCTGTCTCAAATACAAGCCAGTGCAGTTCGGCGATTTGGGAAAATAAAAGCCTGTCCTTGTGATTTTTCAGCCATTTCGCCTAAAATCCTCTTCAAATGTCTTTAATTGCTCCTTGCTCCAGTTGGTCTGACACCTTCAGCCATGTTGGCATGTCCTGTCATCTGCTTGCGCTTGGCTAGTTGCTGCTTGCAGCTATATGTTATTTTGAAATTGCTTTATGACTGTGATAAAAGGTAAAAGTACACTATGCAACTTTTGAAGCCCAAAAAGCACATCCATCCATCATAAAAGTAATCCATACGGCTCCAGGGGGTTAGTAAAGGCCTTCTGAAGCGAAGCCAAGCGTTTTTGTAAGAAAAATATCCATATTTATAACTTTATAAACTATAATCACTTGCTTCCGGTAACAACCTTACGCGTGTCTATTTTCAGCAGAAGAGTGACCTCTGACCCGACTTTTTGGGGCTTCAAATATCAGTTAATAACCACTCCCATTATAAAGCTTGGAAGAGCCAGGATATTATAAAATAACTTGGATTGTGTTTGGCTGAAAGAAGAAAGTCATATAGACCTAGGATGGCTTGAGGGTGAGATAATTAAAGGATAATTTAAAATTGTGGGTGAACTAATCCTTTAATTTGCCATCTGCACGTTTTTTCAATATCTCTGACTATTTTTTTATGTTCAATTAGATTAAATCACTGATCCACCCTCATTTGCATAGGAGGCATATTTGCACTTATATAAACAAAAACATTTTAAAAAAGTTTGTTTAATGAATATTTTCTCATGCTTGTCACAGTGTGTTCTTTTTAGTTTGTTTTCATTGGACTTGTCTGCCTGTCTTCATGTCACGTGTCGTCATCATCATTATCAGTTCATCTGTATCACCTGTGTTTATTTAATCATCATCATCATTTGTTTCACCTGTGATCTGCCAATCAATGTTCATCTGTGTTTGTATTTAGTTCCCTTCTATTAAGTCAGTCTTGGTCCGTTCTCCTTTGTATTTAGTGTGTGCATGCCTTCTGCCTGTCTGTACCAGTTTAAGTATTATTATAAGTAAAAGTTTGCATTGGAACTTTGGACTCTTCATCTTCTTCTGCCTGCACCACACCGTGACAGAAGAATGGACCAAGAAATTGAAAGGATGATCGTTCTCCGCATCCTCTTAAATCCCACTAATCGTCTGGTAACCTGTTTCCAGGATGACCGCCAGATTGAAGTGTATGTTGAGCAGTTCCTGGAGATCTCTCAAGAGGTAAACTGGGCAGATGATGTCCTAAAGTCTGTGTTCTGGTACGGACTGGAGGATCATCTGCACCAGCAAGCTCCAGCGGCTGCTCTCTCAGGCACCTTAGCTCAATACCTGGATCATGTGCTGTGGTTGAGTGGCTCACATGGACTGGATCCGTTCCAGAGTCCCGTCTATAGTCTTGTCCCACCGAGACCACCACCCCAGAGTCCCCTCTTCCTGTCCTCGTCCAGAAACTATAGAGGATGTAGATTTAATAGACTTCGACACCTGTCTTCCTCTATATGTTTTTTCTGTCTTCCCGGAACTATCCGTCAATGCTGTCGGGCCGGATCTTCACGTCATGCCTGTCAAGCCAGAGCTTCTTCACGTCATGCCCGCCGAGCCTGAGTCTTCTGTCCCCGAGCCCGAGTCTTCTGTCCCCGAGCCCGAGTCTTCTGTCCCCGAGCCCGAGTCTTCTGTCCCCGAGCCCGAGTCTTCTGTCCCCGAGCCTGAATCAATGTCTGAATTCCCACCCAGCCTCCCTCTCCCACCTCCTCCCTTCTACTACCTCTCAACCCTTCTTCCACCACTGCCTGTCAGCCCCTCGTCTCCTCAAGTCACCGTGGGTCTGCCAGCCTGCAGCTCCAGCCTGGTCAGTGGATCCCCACCGGTCTCCGTCTCGAACCTCCGCGACCAGGACTCTACCTTGGCCTGTCGATCCATCAGCTCCACCTTGGCTCCTACATCCCTCAGCTCCACCTTGGCCAATCAGTTCACCAGTTCCGCCAGGCTCCCTCGTCCCCCCGGATCCACCTTGGTCCTCGTCGACCTACCCTCACCTCTGGACTGCACTCCTCTGGCTACGCCTCGTCCCTTCATCCCCCCGGCTCTGTTGGACTCCTCACTCCCTTCTGTTCCTCCTTGGTCCTCACTCCCTGTGTCTCCACCGTGCCCTTCTGTGTCCCTGCCTGCACCTCAGTCGTCAGAGCCAGCGGCGTCGCCATGTCCCGCCGGATCCTCAGTGTCGCCTAGGCTTGTCGGCTCTCCGGCTCCACCCTGGTCTCCTCTCCCACCTGCTCCGCCCCCATCAGTCGGCCTCCTGGCGTCGTCAGACCTACCTCCACCATGGCTCCTCCCTCCGTCGTCTCCACCCTGGCCGCCTGCACAGCCTGCTCCGCCTGGCCGCCTGCCTTCTGTCTACCCTCACCTGCTCTTCATCCTCCTCCTGAGTCCCCTCCCTCTGCAGTTGGTCTATCTATGGCGTCGAGGACGTGCCTACAGGGAGCGGGGAGTAATGTCACAGTTGTGTTTTGTTAGGTTTGTTTTCATTGGACTTGTCTGCCTGTCTTCATGTCACGTATCATCATTAGCAGTTCATCTGTATCACCTGTGTTTAGTTAATCATCATCATCTGTGTTTGTATTTAGATCCCTTCTATTCAGTCAGTCTTGGTCCGTTCTCCGTTGTATTTAGTGTGTGTGTGTGTGTGTGTGCCTTCTGCCTGTCTGTACCAGTTTAAGTATTATTATTGTAAGTAAAAGTTTGCACTGGAACTTTGGACTCTTCATCTTCTTCTGCCTGCACCACACCGTGACAATGCTAAAGTGGCGCAATTGCCCCTCATCTTTTGCAGTTGGTTTTAGTTCATTTTTCTTTCTTTTCAAAACATAAACACAAACTCCAACGTTTCCAAACACAGTCATTATTTTGTATTGCCATGCTCTTTTTTTCCCCTCTCTGACCTGTGCAATTAAATAGTCTATTTTTGCTACTGTACCTTAAGACTTCTATATGTAAATAACTTTATGAACCTGGCGTATTGATAGTGTTGCAGTTAAATTGTAATAAATGTTCTGTACTGGGGTAGAAGTTTTGCATTCTGAAAGTTAGGGATCCCACACACTAAACAAAGCACTAATGAAGCTTTATTCAAGTGGGGATGCAGTGAATTGGAACAGTTTCTCTGCTTGTGGTCACATAACAGGGTGTTACTCTCACAAACCCTTGCATTCGTCCTCTGAGTTCGTCCTTGCTGTATTCGTCCTCACCATCCCCAATGAAATCAGAGGATTAGTGGTGTTCTAAACAGTAGTGAGAAAAAAATCAATTTTTCCATTAAATAGTGCCTTTACGCCAAAACTAAAAACCTTGGTCTTGGCTGGGCTCACAATTTGTATAATGTTTGATAATTGTTTTTCCTTTAATGGAGATAAAACCTCATTTATATGCAGCTCCCGGTGTTCTCGTTATCTCACCACAGTCATGGTTTGCTCTTTGAACTCATTTCATAGCTGCTGCAGCATTAAAGGATGTATTTGAACTCATATGGAATCCAATGATAGCACACTTCAATATAACAGCCTGAGCCGAGTGAAGCACCACATGATTGTTTTTCCTGTGGCATTTTCTTCCATTTGACAGAGATGATTGAACTAGATGGAGATGAGGTCAGGATATCATCCAGGGGTCGCTTTGCAGAGAGAGACATTGTGCAGGTGAGTTTTCCAGCCGTGGATCTCATGTATCTTTGGACCAAAATAGTAAAGCAGTATTCATGGTGATTTTAACCTAATATATCCAGCATTTGAAGCAATGACCACTGACTGTATTTTTGACTCATCTATTTGTGTGGCATCATATTTTTGAAGGGTATAACCATCATCCTTAAACATTACATGTATTAGCATGAGACTGCTGTGAGGTTAACCCGGTTACTTCTTTACTTGATGAAGAGTACCAGGAATTTTTCTAAGTTGCAAGTTCTAAGTTGACTTGAAATTACATTACAATCAATTCTCCTGCCATAATGTGATGTATTCTTTCAATGTTATGAGATGATAAAATGTGTGGGACTTGACTTTCATGGGCAATTCAGTGGATAGAAAATGGTCCTTACATGGTAAACGGATACGAGTGTAAGGGAACCCAGGCTGTCTGTGGGAATTTTCCCATTCATTTAAGTTGCCATTGTCATCGTAGGCACTCCGAAGTCCGCGTGCTCGAAAAGGACGCCAGATCCTGCTTATTCGGATGGTGAGTGGTACTCTTTCCGAAATCGCATATAAAGTAGCCAAAATCAGCATAAATTAACATAGGCTCTGTGTGGTAGCCTATAGGGGTGCCAGTGCACTACTGGGTGGTCCACCAAGTGCTTTTGGGGTCCGCCAACTACCTGCTCTTCACCATAGTCCTCCTCAGTGCCACGGAGGGCCTATTTCGACCCCTAACTACCTTTTCTCTCCTTCATCGCCACGAAGTGCCTGTGGGGTCCCCTAACCACCCAAACTTCACCATAGTCTTCCTCGTGGTCCACGAAGTGCCTGTTTCGACCCCTAACCGCCTGTCCTCTTCTTCATTGCTACGGAGTGCCTATGGGGTCCCCTAACCACCTGAACTTCACCACAGTCTTCCTCAGTGCCACGGGGAGCCTTTTTCGACCCCTAACCACCTGTCCTCTTCTTCATTGCCACGGAGTGCCTGGGGGGTCCCCTAACCACCTGAACTTCACCACAGTCTTCCTCAGTACCACGAGGAGCCTTTTTTGACCTCTAACAACCTATCCTCTTCTTCATTGCCACGGAGTGCCTGGGGGGTCCCCTGACCACCCGAACTTCACCATGGTCTTAGTCTCAGGCCACGTGCTCCTCGAAGGGTGGACAGAGAGGTCCGATCGGCCTGAAACTGACGTATGCGTCCCGTCACGGGCCCCTGGGACGGGTTCTAGAGTTCCGCGTCCCTCTGACCTTTTTTCGCGCTAATTGGCCACCAACAGCCCCATGGAACAAGTTGCACGTGGGCCGTCAAACAAACGGGGGCCAAAAGGGGTCGAAAGGTCGCAGCGGCCCCAAACTCGGCACGGCGGTAGTCCGGGGGCCCCCGGTTCTAGATCCTGGATTTGGTGGTTCTAGATCGGTTCTAAGTGTGGGTTCCAGCAAAGCGGCTTGTTGGAAAGGCCCGATCGGCCCGAAACTGACACACGCGTCTCGTCACGGGCCCCGGGGACGGGTTCTAAAGTTCCGCGTCCCTCGGACTTTTATTCGCGCTAATTGGCCACCAACAGCCCCATGGAACAAGTTGCACGTGGGCCGTCAAACAAACGGGGGCCAAAAGGGGTCGAAAGGTCGCAGCGGCCCCAAACTCGGCACGGCGGTAGTCCGGGGGCCCCCGGTTCTAGATCCTGGATTTGGTGGTTCTAGATCGGTTCTAAGTGTGGGTTCCAGCAAAGCGGCTTGTTGGAAAGGCCCGATCGGCCCGAAACTGACACACGCGTCTCGTCACGGGCCCCGGGGACGGGTTCTAAAGTTCCGCGTCCCTCGGACCTTTTTTCGCGCTAATTGGCCACCAACAGCCCCATGGAACAAGTTGCACGTGGGAAGTCACATAAACAGGGGCCAAAAGGGGTCGAAAGGTCGCAGCGGCCCCAAACTCGACACGGTGGTAGTCCGGGGGCCCCCGGTTCTAGATCCCGGGTCGCAGGGTTCTAGATCGGTTCCGAGTGTGTTTTCAGTTTGACCCTTCGAGAGGGAATGTCAGTCTATGAGCTCACTATGAGTGCAAGATGCTTTTGAGAGAAACTTGAACAAGGGAGGCAAAAAAATGAGCCCTGAGTTCTAGAGACTCGTCCCCCTGATATGTCGTTCGGGGGCCCGAGGGGGCCCGGCACGCAGCGTTTGGGGCCCGTGGGACCTCGGGGGGCCGAACAGGGGCCACTGACACGTGCGACTTATCCCATTCATTTTCACAGGTGTTTCGTGGAACGTGTGACAGAAAGGTCCGATCGGCCCGAAACTGACTTATGTGTCCCCTCACGGGCCCCTGGGACGGGTTCTAGAGTTCCGTGTCCCTCTGACCTTTTTTCGCGCTAATTGGCCACCAACAGCCCCATGGAACAAGTTGCACGTGGGCCGTCAAACAAAGGGGGGCCAAAAGGGGTCGAAAGGTCGCAGGGGCCCCAAACTCGGCACGGCGGTAGTCCGGGGGCCCCCGGTTCTAGATCACGGGTCGCGCGGTTCTAGATCGGTTCTAGGTATGTGTTTCGGCCAAACGGTTTGAAGGAAACGCCCGATTGTCCCGAAACTGACGTATGCGTCCCACCACGGGCCCCGGGGACGGGTTCTAGAGTTCCGCGTCCGAAACAGCTCGTTTGCCCGAAAAAAGACCCCCTTGACCGGGAAGCGCCTGTGAAGTTTGCATTGAACAAGTTGCACGTGGGCGGGCGGAAATGCAGGGGTCGAAAGGTCGCACCGCCTCCAAATTCCCCGCCCTGGTAGTCGAGGGGCCCCCGGTTCTAGATCCCGGGTCGCAGGGTTCTAGATCGGTTCCAAGTGTGTGTTTTTGCAGTGCAAAAATCTCCTCACTTTGGTTCACTCTGACTGCATGTATGTCTATGTGTGAGAGAGGGCGGCCATTAATCGGACCATGTGCTCGCTGAAGGGTGGACAGAAAGGTCCGATCGGCCCGAAACTGACGTATGCGTCCCGTCACGGGCCCCTGGGACGGGCCCTAGAGTTCCGCGTCCCTCTGACCTTTTTTGGCGCTAATTGGCCACCAACAGCCCCATGGAACAAGTTGCACGTGGGCCGTCAAACAAACGGGGGCAAAAAGGGGTCGAAAGGTCGCAGCGGCCCCAAACTCGGCACGGCGGTAGTCCGGGGGCCCCCGGTTCTAGATAATGGATTTGGTGGTTCTAGATCGGTTCTAAGTATGGGTTTCAGCAAAACGGCTTGTTGGAAAGGCCCGATCGGCCCGAAACTGATACATGCGTCTCGTCACGGGCCCCGGGGACGGGTTCTAGAGTTCCGCGTCCCTCTGACTTTTTTTCGCGCTAATTGGCCACCAACAGCCCCATGGAACAAGTTGCACGTGGGCCGTCAAACAAACGGGGGCCAAAAGGGGTCGAAAGGTCGCAGCGGCCCCAAACTCGACACGGTGGTAGTCCGGGGGCCCCCGGTTCTAGATCCCGGGTCGCCGGGTTCTAGATCGGTTCCGAGTGTGTTTTCAGTTTGACCCTTCGAGAGGGAATGTCAGTCTATGAGCTCACTATGAGTGCAAGATGCTTTTGAGAGAAACTTGAACAAGGGAGGGAAAAAAATGAGCCCTGAGTTCTGGAGACCCGTCCCCCTGATATGTCGTTCGGGGGCCCGAGGGGGCCCGGCACGCAGCGTTTGGGGCCCGTGGGACCTCGGGGGGCCGAACAGGGGCCACTGACACTTGCAACTTATCCCATTCATTTTCACAGGTGTTTCGTGGAACGTGTGACAGAAAGGTCCGATCGACCCGAAACTGACTTATGTGTCCCCTCACGGGCCCCTGGGACGGGTTCTAGAGTTCCGTGTCCCTCTGACCTTTTTTCGCGCTAATTGGCCACCAACAGCCCCATGGAACAAGTTGCACGTGGGCCGTCAAACAAAGGGGGGCCAAAAGGGGTCGAAAGGTCGCAGGGGCCCCAAATTCGGCACGGCGCTAGTCCGGGGGCCCCCGGTTCTAGATCACGGGTCGCGCGGTTCTAGATCGGTTCTAGGTATGTGTTTCGGCCAAACGGTTTGAAGGAAACGCCCGATTGTCCCGAAACTGACGTATGCGTCCCGCCACGGGCCCCGGGGACGGGTTCTAGAGTTCCGCGTCCCTCGGACTTTTTTTCGCGCTAATTGGCCACGAACAGCCCCATGGAACAAGTTGCACGTGGGCCGTCAAACAAACGGGGGCCAAAAGGGGTCGAAAGGTCGCAGCGGCCCCAAACTCGACACGGTGGTAGTCCGGGGGCCCCCGGTTCTAGATCCCGGGTCGCCGGGTTCTAGATCGGTTCCGAGTGTGTTTTCAGTTTGACCCTTCGAGAGGGAATGTCAGTCTATGAGCTCACTATGAGTGCAAGATGCTTTTGAGAGAAACTTGAACAAGTGTGGAAAAAAAATGAGCCCTGAGTTCTAGAGACCCGTCCTCCTGATATGTCGTTCGGGGGCCCGAGGGGGCCCGGCACGCAGTGTTTGGGGCCCGTTGGACCCCCGGGGGCCGAACAGGGGCCACTGACACTTGCAACTTATCCCATTCATTTTCACAGGTGTTTCGTGGAACGTGTGACAGAAAGGTCCGATCGACCCGAAACTGACTTATGTGTCCCCTCACGGGCCCCTGGGACGGGTTCTAGAGTTCCGTGTCCCTCTGACCTTTTTTCGCGCTAATTGGCCACCAACAGCCCCATGGAACAAGTTGCACGTGGGCCGTCAAACAAAGGGGGGCCAAAAGGGGTCGAAAGGTCGCAGGGGCCCCAAACTCGGCACGGCGCTAGTCCGGGGGCCCCCGGTTCTAGATCACGGGTCGCGCAGTTCTAGATCGGTTCTAGGTATGTGTTTCGGCCAAACGGTTTGAAGGAAACGCCCGATTGTCCCGAAACTGACGTATGCGTCCCACCACGGGCCCCGGGGACGGGTTCTAGAGTTCCGTGTCCAAAACAGCTCGTTTGCCCGAAAAAAGACCCCCTTGACCGGGAAGCGCCTGT